TTATGTGTGTGGGCTGAGACCAACCTACTTCATCTGGCTTCCCATATCATGTGTACACTAGCTCAGGACTCGTAGTGAGCATATGCTGACTTGTGATGTTGTAAAGGTGATGAGAGGGGTTGTACATTACAATTGTTTTGGAGGGGGTGGAGGTTCTGCTGCGACGTCGGACATTCATTTTCAGGTTTTCTAGGTGGATGGGCCGAGACCAACTTACTTCGTCTGGTTTCCTACTTCATGTGTACATTAGCTTCTAGTTCAGCAGTCGCAGTGAGCATATGTCTGAATTGTTGATTGTTGAGGCGCTCAGAGGGACCATACATTGCAATCGTTTCGGAAGGGTGGAGGCTCCGGCACGCTGCGTCGTCGGATATTCACAACGAGTTCTCGGGTGCCACCCACGCTCTACAGGCCGCTTGTATTTCAATATTCCAATGTATTCTCAGAAGAGTGAACCTCGAGAGGGCATTTAATGCTAGTTGATGCGCGTGCCATTTTGTTGTAAGTGTCAGGGCCTACATGCCTATGTTTTTCCGGGGATTCGCACAGTCGGCGTCTTCGTGCTGTAGTGGCATGGCGATTCCGTAACCATGATGGCTTTGTCTGTGTCTCTGGATGTGCTGCTTCCCCCTGCAGGGCGGTTCGCACGTCGTGGGGTTTCGTTCTCGCTGCGCCGCTCGTCGCCATGGCGCGACCATGTGAGCGCTCGGCAATGGGGCACATTGATGAGGTGATCAACGCGCTGCCTTGGTCGTGCGAGAACAAGCTCAGGCTGCGCGCTGACGTGGAGCGCATCTTGGAAGTGGCGCTCGCGTTGGCCTACTGGTCGCGTTGGACTAGTAGGGCTACTTTGGCCTACTAGTACGACCGGCGGAGGGGCCTCCCGCTCGAGACATCCTCGAAAGTCCTCCCCGGCGGGGCTACTAGTAGGGACGAAGTAGCCCTACTAGTACGGGCTCCGGGGGGCCGGCGGGGGCGTACTAGTAGGGCTACTTTGGCCTACTAGTACGACCGGCGGAGAGGTTCCCCGCTCGAGACATCCTCGAAAGTCCGCCCCGGCGGGGCTACTAGTAGGGCTACTCTGGCGTACTCGTACGGCCCAGGAGAGCTGGCGGGGGCGTACTAGTAGGGCTACTTTGGCCTACTAGTACGACCGGCGGAGGGGGCTCCCGCTCGAGACATGCTCGAAAGTCCCCCCCGGCGGGGCTACTAGCAGGGTCGAAGTAGCCCTACTAGTACGGGCCCCGGGGGGCTGGCGGGGGCGTACTAGTAGGGCTACTTTGGCCTACTAGTACGACCGGCGGAGAGGCCCCCCGCTCGACACATCCTCGAAAGTCCGCCCCGGCGGGGCTACTAGTAGGGCTACTTTGGCCTACTAGTACGAGCCAGGGCTACTTTGGCCTACTAGTACGACAAGCGGAGAGGCTCCCCGCTCGAAACATGCTCGAAAGTTCCCCCCGGCGGGGCTACTAGTAGGGTCGAAGTAGCCCTGCTAGTACGGGTTCCGGGGGGCCGGCGGGGGCGTACTAGTAGGGCTACTTTGGCCTACTAGTACGACCGGCGGAGAGGATCCCAGCTCGAGACATCCTCGAAAGTCCGTCCCGGCGGGGCTACTAGTAGGGCTACCTTGGCCTACTAGTACGGCCCCGGGGGGCTGGCGGGGGCGTACTAGTAGGGCTACTTTGGCCTACTAGTACGACCGGCGGAGAGGTCCTCCGCTCGAGACATCCTCGAATGTCCGCTCCGCCAGGGCTACTAGTAGGGCTACTTTGGCCTACTAGTACGGCTCCGGGGGGCCGGCGGGGGCGTACTACTAGGGCTACTTTGACCTGCCAGTACGACCGGCGGAGAGGCCCCCCGCTCGAGACATCCTCGAAATTCCGCCCCGGCAGGGCTACTAGTAGAGCTACTTTGGCCTACTAGTACGGCCCCGGAGGACTGGCGGGGGCGTACTAGTAGGGCTACTTTGGCCTACTAGTACGACTGGCGGAGAGGCCTTCCGCTCGAGACATCCTCGAATGTTCGCCCCGCCGGGGCTACTAGTAGAGCTACTGTGGCCTAGTAGTACGGCCCCGGGGTTGGCGGGGGCGTACTAGTAGGGCTACTTTAGCCTACTAGTACGACCGGCGGAGAGGCCCACCGCTCGAGACATCCTCGAATGTCCGCCCCGCCGGGGCTACTAGTAGGGCTACTTGAGCCTACTAGTACGGGCCCCGGGGGGCTGCCGGGGGCGTTCTAGTAGGGCTACTTTGGCCTACTAGTACGACCGGCTGGCGGGGGCGTACTAATAGGGCTACTTTTGGCTATTAGTACGACCGGCGGAGAGGCCCCCCGCTCGAGACATCCTCGAAAGTCCGTCCCGGCGGGCCTACTAGTAGAGCTACTTTCGCCTACTAGTACGGGCGCCGGGGGGGTGGCGGAGGCGTACTGGTAGGGCTACTTTGGCCTACTAGTACGACCGGCGGAGAGGTCCTCCGCTCGAGACATCCTTGAATGTCCGCTCCGGCGAGGAGTAGGCACGAAGTAGCCCTACCAGCACGGGCCCCGGGGGGCTGGCGGGGGCGTACGAGTAGGGCTACATTGGCGTACTAGTTCGATCGGCGGAGAGGGCCTCCGCTCGAGACTTCCTCGAAAGTCCGCCCCGCCGTGGCTACTAGTAGGGCTACTTTGGCCTACTAATACGGCCCCGAGGGGCTGGCGGCGGCGTACTAGTAGGGCTACTTTGGCCTACTAGTACGACCGGCGGAGAGGCTCCCCGCTCGAGACATGCTCGAAAGTCCGCCCCGGCGAGGGCTACTAGAAGGGCTACTTTGGCCTACTCGTACGGCCCCGGGGGGCTGGCGGGGGCGTACTAGTAGGGCTACTTTGGCCTGCTTAGCCGTACTAGTACAATCCGCGGAGTCGTACTAGTAGGCGTACATTGGCCCTACGGGTTCGCCTCCCGAGCGCCGCGGGTCGTACTAGTAGGCGTACTTAGCCGTACTAGTACGACCCGCGGAGTCGTACTAGTAGGCGTACTTCGGCCCTACGGGTTCGCCTCCCGACCGCCGCGGGTCGTACTAGTAGGCGTACTTAGCCGTACTAGTACGACCCGCGGAGTCGTACTAGTAGGCGTACTTCGGCCCTACGGGTTCGCCTCCCGACCGCCGCGGGTCGTACTAGTAGGCGTACTTAGCCGTACTAGTACGACCCGCGGAGTCGTACTAGTAGGCGTACTTCGGCCCTACGAGTACGCCTCCCGACCGCAGCGGGTCGTACTAGTAGGCGTACTTAGCCGTACTAGTACGACCCGCGGGTCGTACTAGTAGGCGTACTTCGGCCCTACGAGTACGCCTCCCGACCGCAGCGGGTCGTACTAATAGGCGTACTTAGCCGTACTAGTACGACCCGCCGTACTAGTAGGCGTACGTACTAGTACGACCCGCCGTACTAGTAGGCGTACTTCGGCCCTACGAGTACGCCTCCCGACCGCAGCGGGTCGTACTAGTAGGCGTACTCAGTCGTACTAGTACGACCCGCCGGGTCGTAATGGTAGGCGTACTTCGGCCCTACGAGTACGCCTCCCGACCGCAGCGGGTCGTACTAATAGGCGTACTTAGCCGTACTAGTACGACCCGCCGGGTCGTACTAGTAGGCGTACTTCGGCCCTACGAGTACGCCTCCCGACCGCAGCGGGTCGTACTAGTAGGCGTACTCAGTCGTACTAGTACGACCCGCCGGGTCGTAATAGTAGGCGTACTTCGGCCCTACGAGTACGCTTCCCGACCGCAGCGGGTCGTACTAATAGGCGTACTTAGCCGTACTAGTACGACCCGCCGGAGCGTAATAGTAGGCGTACTTCGGCGTACTAGTACGACTCGCCGGGTCGTACTAGTAGGCGTACTTCGGCGTACTAGTACGGCCAGCCGGGAAAACCAAGCACTCTCTCGTGGAATGAGACCAGACTCGGGCAAGAGTGTCGGCCCTTGCGCAACCAAGTCGCCTGCTCAGCTCAGAAACAATGGATCCATCGGCAGCCAAAACACTCCCCAATTAAACCATGGAGTCCTTTTGATGATCGGGGCGCCGTCTGGACTCGTCACGCTCCCCTGGCACCGGATTGCCAGCAACTCGAGCTTCCCCCAAGTGAATTTGAGGCCGTAGTTCGCGCCAGCGGCAGGAATAGCTGTCATCTTTTCCTGCGCGCGCTCTGTGCTTGTGGCTATGATCAGCGTATTGTCGGCGTACACTAGCTCATCCGTGTCCCCCATGCGGTCGCCCAGCATGTCCCGCGAGGGCGCGAGGATCACCTCGCATCGCAGGGCGCGATGGCTCAGGCCTCCCAGATGGGGTCAAAGTAGACGGGGTCGGAGGATCGCGCGGCTTCGAAGATGCATCGGCGATGTGGCTCGATGAGGAGCACGATGTCCTCCAAGCCGACCTCGCCGATGCACTGGTGATTCATCGACGATGCGGCGAGATCCCCTGACCCCATCTGCTCCGACCCCACTTGGGAAGCCTCCACGTGGGCGAAGCTTGGTGGGCCAGCACTTGTCAGGAGGGAACAAGAGCACGCAGGCACAGTTAAAAACGTCGACTCCCAGGAAGCTGTGGGAAACGTGGGGAAGGCGAACATCCAGGAAGCATGGACCTGGCATCGCTTGGACTTGTGCATTTTGCTCTCGGCGAGAACCATCGAGGACCATCCTCGACCAAGGAGCCACAAAAACACGCACGATACCGAACAAAACACGGGAAATGGACGTCCGAGCGACGGCGAGTGGGAAATGATCCAGGAAGCTGTGGGAAGCATGGGGAAGGCGAAAATAATCCAGGAAGCATGGAAAAAGATCTGGGGAATCCTGGGATCTGTGGTGCACTTCTCTCTGTGCGTCCCTGGGCCCCTCCCGCAACTGGGGGCGCCCGCTGCCCGAGGCGAGCCGCGGCGGGGGCATAGGCGCCGGCACCGGCGCCGGCGCGGCGCCGCTGTCTCCGGGGGGCGGCGCGCCGGCGCCCCGCAGGAGCGGGCCATCGTGCTGCACAAGGCCGCCGAGACAGGCCCGACCCTGCTGGAGCAGGGGCCGGAGGAGCAGGAGGTCGCTTTGGAGCCTGTTTTTTTTGGCTTCAGGCAAGTTTACTTGCATGGCGTTCGCCCCCCCCCCCCCCCCTCTCGCCCCTCTTCAAGCGAATACTAGCGTGCAAGTGCCTTTCGACTTGCGTGATTTCCGCGCCCCCCCCCGGCGGCTTGCTTCAGGCTCAGCCCCCCCCCCCCGTCCATGCAAGTAAACTTGCCAGAGTCTAAAAAAAACAAGCTCCTGGAGCAGGGGCCGGAGGAGCAGGAGGTCGCGATGCTTCGGGGCTCGAGAGCCGGGCCGGACGAGAGGAGGGGTCATTGGGAAAGGGGGGGGGGTGCGAAATCTGGTGCATGCGGCTGGTTTCGGCCTCACCGAGGGGCCCATTCCTCGATACATGGCCGCCTCCCGGCGCCGGGAGGCGCCGGGAAACCTGCTTCGGGGGCGGAGAAGAGGGGGGTGATGACTAGAGGGGGGTGGACAGCATGGCGTGGGCCATGATATTTCCCCAGATCTCATGGCGACTCTTCTTATTCAATCGCTTCGCGCATGCCGCCGGCCCTGGAGCGCTGTTTGGGGCCTCTTGGGGCCGTCTTGGGGGCCTCTTGGGGGCTTCTTGGGGGCGTCTTGGGGCTCCTTGGCGGCGTCTTGGGCTCCCCATGGGGCCTCTTAGGAGGCTCTTGGGGGCCCCTTGGGGCGGGAGGGGGGGTAGTCGATTGTAGCCACCCCCTGAGGCCACGATCCTCGTGAGGGGTGGCGAAAAATAGCCTCCCCCCTGGGGATCGCCCAGGACCCGGCCGGGGATCGGCCGGGGTACTTTTCGTCCGGGGGCCCCCAGGGCCCGCCCGGCGCGCGCGAACTAGAAATATTGTTAAGCAGTTGCCGGAGATCTTAGCACGCCTCTGGCCCGTTGGGCCGGCGAATTTCATTACGTCCCTGGCCCCCCCGCTGGGCCGCGCACATGCTGCCGGTCATGATTTGTACCCCCCCTCTTGGACACCCCCCTCTTGGCCGCTCCCGACTGCTGGAGCACGGGACGGAGGAGCAAGAGGTCGCGATGCTTCGGGGCTCGAGAGACGGGGGTCGAAGCGAGCGGGGGTCAGCCAGGGCGCCGGATCTTGCGGAGGCCCCCTCTGGTTGACCCGGGCTGGCGAGCCGCTCGTGGCCGCGAGGCGGCCGCGCGTATTGGCTGGCCCGGGTTTGCGAAGATTTGCGTAGCAGTTGTTTTTTCTGCGTTGCAGTGTTTTGGTTTCCTGCTGATCCGGGTCTGATTGACCAGGGTTAGCAGACCCCTGAGCGATGCTGATGCGTTTCAGGATTACCAGGCATTTTTCTGATGCTCCGCACGGGCTCCAGACCTGCAGAGACGAGAGGACCGCTAGATGGTCCAGAATGCTTGGAACGCATACTGAGGAGGAGGAGCGTAGCTTCATTGTTTCTAGCCTCGTGTGGGTCGTCTGGGTTCCAGTGTCTGGTGTGTGCTTTTATGCTTTTGCATTTTTTGCCATCTTCGGCTGTGGATGCTCCCTGTGTCTTCATGTGATGTGTGTTTTTGTTGTCTCTCAGCTTTCTTGGCATTTTGGGCACTGGGGCCGTCTCTCTCTCAACCGCTCTGGGGTGAGAGACCGCCAGGGTCTTCAATCTCCTTCCCTCGCCTCGTGGCCCCTGGCTGAGAGAGCATTCTCGCCCGGGTGCAACGTGTTTTCGTGTAATTGGCTTCCACTCAGTGTTTTTTCTCTTGCTCTCGCTTTACTTCGCTTCCCTGTACCTCTACTTGCCATGATGGGCAGTGCTCCTCCTCCTCCTCCGGTCCTCCTCTTAGGAGCGCGACGATTTGGGATGTTTTTGGACCTCCTGGTACGCTTTCGTCGCAACGGCTGAGTCCTCCACGACGTCCTGGCTGGTCTGCGCCCCAGGACAGAACAGAACGGACTTGGGTATGGTTTTGTTTGTTCGTCGTCTCTCGATGTATTGTTTGGTCTTCTGCGTAACCCCTCTTGGCCACAGCCAGGCGCATATTGAAGAGTTCATGGCTCCGCGTATCCCTAGCAGCCCATCCAGGCAAGATCAGAGGCTTTCTTTAGGTCTCTTGGATGTCATCGTGAGCCATGCTCAACTGGAGGCTGTCGGTGGCTATCTCGAGCTATGCTCAGCTATCTTGGACCATATTGAGTCTGTCTTGAGGCCGCTTGGAGGTCTGTCGGCGTCTATCTTGAGTCATGCTCGACCTCCTGGGGCCACCTTTGAGGTACGAGGAGAACGAAGAAGAGGAGGAGGAGGAGGAACAAACGATAAGGAGGAGGAGGAGGGGGAAGAAGAGTAGGAGGAGAGGAGGAGGAGGAATGCGACACGATGATGATGCTGATGATGATGCTGATGATGATGAAGAAGATGATGATGATGATGCTGATGATGCTGATGCTGATGCTGATGCTAATGCTGCTGCTGATGGTTATGAAGATGCTGATGATGCTGATGATGATGATGATGGTGCTGATGATGATGATGATGATGATGCTGTTGATGCTGATGGTACTGAAACAGATGATGATTATGGTGGTCGTGAGCATGATGATGTTGATGGTGATGCTGGTGATGGTGATGATGATGATGATGATGATGATGATGATGATGATGGTGATGGTGATGATGATTGTGATGATGCTGATGCTGATGCTGCTGCTGATGATGATGATGATGATGATGATGATGATGATGATGCTGATGCTGATGCTGAGAAGGAGGAGGAGGAGGAGGAGAAGGGAGGAGGCAGGAAAGGAGGAGGGAAGAAACGGACGATGACAAGGAAGATAAGAAGTCGAGCCTTGGAGACATGTTGTTGTGAGAGGTAATTGCAGAATGACCAAGGCCACCTTAGGGGCTCTCTTGGGGTCCAAGCGGGGCCTCTTGGGGCACTCCTGGGGCCCTCTTGGGGGCTCGCTTTGAAGGTCTTGGGGCCCTCTTGGGTGGGGCTCATTGGAGGAGTCTGGGAGGCCTCTCGGCCCTCATGGCTCGAGAAGACTGGGGTGGGGGGGTGGGGGGGGCGAAATCGGGTCCCCCACTGGGAGACACACAATGGCGCTTAAGAGGCCCTCTGGGTCTGCTCTCGGGGCGTTTCTTGGGCGCTCCTGGGGCTGTCTTGGGGCGCCGATGCGCCCTCGTGGGGCTCTCTTTGGCCATCTGGGGGTCACCCTGAGGCCTGAAACGCCCATCGGGAGCGAAAAAGCGCAAAAGGCAACACCAGGTATATGTTCCTAGGTTTTTGAAAGAGGTTGGCCTCTCCTCGCCTCCCTCATCCCCTCCTCCTCCTCGCCTCCCTCCCCTCTGCGTCGCGCCGCATACACCGAATAGTGCTTCTCTTCCGATGGTCGAACGTAGTTGCCGTGCCGACGCGCCCTGCGGGACGCATGGCCTGAGTGACTGAGTGCGGAGGGTGCCCGGGAAGGCTCGGAGGGCGCTTGGAACCGTCTTGGGGCTGCTTTGGGGCCTCTTGGAGGTACAGCCGGGGCCTTGAAGAAGGAACCCTTTTCGTTGGGGAGGGGCTCCGTGTTCCTTAAGTGTTTCACAGCTTGCCTCAGGTTTTCCTTATGTCTTCGATCGGAAATCGAAGTTCAACTTGTGGAAAAAAAGAGCCTCGTTCCTTATTTAGGGTTCCTTAGGTCAACGCCCCGACTTTATGTAGGAGGCTATCTTGAGCCATCTTCGGTTCTCTTGATCCACCTTGGAGGCCGTCTTGGGCTGCCGAGGGCCCTCTTGGAGCCATCTTGGGTCCATCTTTGCAACTCGGACTGCCCGTTCCCCCCTCTCCCCCAGGCCCAGGGTAGGAGTAGAGGGAAGGGTCAGCCCCTTCCCCGAGCAGGGGAAGGAGGAGGAGAGAAGACAAATCTCGTGAAGTCACCTACGCCTAGATAGCCTAGATGGCTGGTGGGATTAGACAGGTCGGTGTTCGAGAGGAGTCCGGTGGCTGACTTTGAGCAGATCTGTACTGGCCGACCCTGGCTTCCAGGCGTCACGCGACATTCGCGACAGGCGATTATCACCAGATTTCGAATGCCTTGGGATCTGGGAACGCAAAAAACACTGGCGGACAAGACATCCCAGGGATGGGTCGACAGCTCCAAGGTCCTGCGTCGAGGACATAGCCCGACGTCGATCTGAGCCTGGGGCCCGAAACCGATGCGAAAGATGCAGTTGAAGCTTCAGAAGCCCATGCGTTGAACGAAAACTGAGGTCTGGGACGGTCTCGTTTGGGGCTCGCGTTCTATGTGCCTGCCAGGACGCGCGCATCGTCGTCCTCATGTCTTTCCACACATTCGCTGCGCTTCGCGAGTGGTCGTCCGCTTTGCGATCGCGGAATGACTTGTCACAGTGTGCAGTTGTTGTGCGCAGGGATCCAGACATAATGCCGCCTGCGCAAAGACCCTTCCCTGACGCTCTGGAGGCCGGTGGTCGTATAACGCCAGGGTTGAAGGATATTTCTCCGTGCATTGTGGTCGCCCAGGTTGTTGATGTGCGAGGTCATGCTGGACGTGCATTGATGCAGCGAGCATCTGCATACTGCACAGTTGCTTCCGCGTTTCTATTGCGTTTCATGTTTTGTTCCCCACCCGACAGTCTGGTGCTGTTAGATTTCAAGGACAAGCCACCCAGCCACACACACCCCTGCACACCGCGGCCGCCAGACCCTAAGTTGTCCCGATGATCCCGAGTATCCCGCCTCGCGCACGGCCAATCCCACCCTGCACACCGCGGCCGCCAGACCCTAAGTTGTCCCGATGGTCCCGAGTATCCCGCCTCGCGCACGGCCAACCCCACCCTGCACACCGCGGCCGCCAGACCCTAAGTTGTCCCGATGATCCCGAGTATCCCGCCTCGCGCACGGCCAATCCCACCCTGCACACCGCGGCCGCCAGACCCTAAGTTGTCCCGATGGTCCCGAGTATCCCGCCTCGCGCACGGCCAACCCCACCCTGCACACCGCGGCCGCCAGACCCTAAGTTGTCCCGATGATCCCGAGTATCCCGCCTCGCGCACGGCCAATCCCACCCTGCACACCGCGGCCGCCAGACCCTAAGTTGTCCCGATGGTCCCGAGTATCCCGCCTCGCGCACGGCCAACCCCACCCTGCACACCGCGGCCGCCAGACCCTAAGTTGTCCCGATGATCCCGAGTATCCCGCCTCGCGCACGGCCAATCCCACCCTGCACACCGCGGCCGCCAGACCCCGAGTTGTCCCGATGATCCCGAGTATCCCGCCTCGCGCCCGACCAACCCCACCCTGCACACCGCGGCCGCCAGACCCCGAGTTGTCCCGATGATCCCGAGTATCCCGCCTCGCGCCCGACCAACCCCACCCTGCACACCGCGGCCGCCAGACCCCGAGTTGTCCCGATGATCCCGAGTATCCCGCCTCGCGCCCGACCAACCCCACCCTGCACACCGCGGCCGCCAGACCCCGAGTTGTCCCGATGATCCCGAGTATCCCGCCTCGCGCCCGGCCAACCCCACCCTGCACACCGCGGCGGCCAGACCCCAAGTTGTCCCGATGATCCCCCAAGAGTCCCGGGTGTCCCGCCTCGCGCCCTCGACGAACACGACAGCACAGAACATGACAGAGCAGACCACGACAGAACAGAGCAGAGCATGACAGAACCGAACATACCAGAGCAGAACATGGCCGAGCAGAAGGCGACAGGTCACAATATAACAGAACAGGGACCATACCATGACACAGCATCACATAACATAGCACGACAGCAGGGCATGGCCACGACGAACACGACAGAACACCACATGACGCAACATAACATGGCATGCCAGACAATATCAATGTCATCACAGCATAGAGCATACCATGACATCACCTAACATACCATAACATAACATGACATAACAGCGGACCACACAACACAACCTCACACACCATAACCGAGCATGGTATAACATACCTTGACAGAGCACATCTTAACTTGGCACAGCATCACAGAACACATCATAACACGACAGCAGAGCATAGCGACGATGAACACCTGAGAACACAGCATGCCACATCATGACATAAAATACCACGATCATGACATAACATATCATATCATAGCATATCAATGTCATGACAACGTAAACCATGACATGACATCACACAACAAACCAGGACACAACATGACATACCAGAAGACGGCATAACACAACAACTTGGTATACCATCTCATACCATGGCACATCATCACATATCATATCATACCATGACAGCAAATAATCGCGAATCATATTAGCAGAAAATTTCATTAAATAGGTTACAGATCCGAGCCGTCAACTAACCGAATATCACAGCATACCAGAGCAGAACGTGACATATCACACGGTGACGGAACACAACATCACACAATATAACAGAGCATACCATACCACACCTTGACGGACCAGATCATGCCACGATTGCAGAACCTTGCGACGACGAACCTTGACATACCACACCATGACACACCATATCATGCCAGATCAGAACACGAGCATGGCAGAACATGACAGACCATAACCTAGCAACGGCATGACAACAACGCAGAGCACACCAGCACACCACGGAGAATGTCAGAGCACAACGTGGCAGAACAGAAGACGACATCACACATCACACCAGGACATCGCCAAGCATAACCCGACACACTTGGACAGGGCAGACCATACCAATACACAGCAGCACAGAACATGCCATAGCACGTCAGCAGAGCACAGCGACACACACTAGCAGCGTAGCCCATGATGGACCATACTGGACCGAGCCGTCACCACACAGAACATCACAGCACATACCAGGGCAGAGCATGACATAACATAAGGCGACATACCACACTATCACAGCACGCAGCCGGGCATCTCATAGCACCCCTCGGCATCCCATATCATACCATACCATGACACCATCACATTGCATATCCTAACACGGCACCACACAGCATGGCGACACATACTAGCAGAGCATAGCGTAGTCTGCTATACCGTGCTGAGCTGTCCACAGCATCACCGAACAGGGCATGTTAAGACCTAGTGTTCCATAAGATAACAAGTCATAACAAAGTGCCACTGGAATGGTCATACCATGACATCGCAAAACATATGGTGCCATATAGGATCATGTCATAACATACCCCATCCAATGAGACACACAAGTAAAGGAATAACATCATAACAGACGACGCATCTAACGTCACAGGCGTCACGACTGGCCCGTCGAGAACAGAACAGGACATAATAGAGCAGACCATGAAAGAGCGTGACTACATGGAACTCGGTTGAACCGTTTCTGAATCCAGACATGGCATTTGTGCAGTGGTGGAGAGGAGTACCACGACAGAACAGGAGGTAGCAACATCTATTAACAGGGCAGATCATATTATAATATACTGACCTGAGCCGTCAACAGCACCATGAAACAGAGCATACTACAACAGAGCCTGACAGAGCACATCATGTCCTAACACGTTGCCATAGAGCAAGGCACACCATGACATACCAACGCATACTGTGGCTGGAGCGAGCATGACAGATCATATTCGAACGGATGAGAACAACAGGGCGGAGGGATATCATAACATGACATACCGTACGTACACTTACGTCAGCTTGGCCACAGGAACCAGCAGCCACAGCAATGAGCGATTCGTTGACGTATCTAACGTGACAAGCCTCACGACGTCACGCTGGCCCGTCGACATCATAACATCACAGAACACAGTACCACACATTACATTGGGGGATACTTCTACCACACACACACACACACACACGCACACACACTATAGCACAACATCGCGTTTGCAGTAGCCACCACTTCACGGCGTCGCCAATGCGTCAACACGTCACGCCGGCCCGTCAAGAACATAGGAGGATATCATAGAACACTACATGCATAATGTTACTGTATAGTGTTACTACATGGAACATTGTGGAGTCGCGCTGGCCCGTCGAGATCAAAACATCACAGAACACAGTATCACATACTACACTGTCGCACAATCCAACCAAACCCAGTATAGCACAACATCACGTATGCAGTAGCCAAGCAAGAGAGGGCAGGAGGTAGGAGAGGGGAGGAGGTAAGAGAAGAGGAGGGAGGACGACGAGAGGACGAGGAGTTGGGACAAACTGGAGGAGGAGGGAGGCAGGCGAGGAGGAGGAGGAGGAGGAGGAGGAACAGTGGGGAGGAGAGGCCCGCCTCGCCTTCCTGCTGTTCCTCCTCATCCTTCGTCGTCCGCCTCCTCCTGCTGATGATCGTCCTCCTCCTGCTGATGATGATCCTGTCTGCTGATGTTCGTCTTCGTCGTGTTCCTCCTCCTCTTCCTCCTCGTCCTCTTCCTGCTGATGTTCGTCGTGTCTTCTCTTCGTCCTCGTCCTCTTCCTGCTGATGTTCGTCTTCGTCGTGTGCCTCCTGCTGATGATCGTCCTCTTCCTCTTTCAACAGGCCGCGGCTGTCTCTCGCTTTCGCACCGCACGTGATCGAATCTTTTTTGTTTTTCGCACGGGGTCTCTTCCGATTTCTTTTGTCAGGAGTTCAGGTGTTGTTGGATTCGGAGGAAGCGGGATTCGCCACCCGGCCCGACCGCCGCACTTGCCGAGACCGGTGACCAGAGGGCCCCGCGCGCAGCGTTCCACCATTACGGCGACCGCGCGCCGTCGGGAACAAGCGCTTTAAGGTTTCGGTGGGGATCGCTTGAAGCAACAGCATGCTTGTTGTTGTTCAGACACGTAGGGGAAAGTGTTTCCCTGGTGGGTGCCCGCATATGATCACGTCTCATCAAAGTTTCAGTAAGATCTGGCACTTGTCGTTCCGTGTCGTCGGTGCTACTTGCCATTCGGTCTGTATGCCTCGCCTGCTTGGTTTGGACGACAGGCTGGTCGGTGCAGATGAAGGACCAGGACGGCAGGAATAAGGGCCCAGACGTGCGCAAGCACGGCTACCAGTTTAACTTGTTCGAGGAGGTGTCATCCGACGACGGCGACCAATGCCGTTCAAGTCAATCTTGGACAGTGACACTTGCGCAGCAGACCCTCGCGGTTAAGTAGTCGAGCCGTCGCGGTTCAAGTCCTGGCACCTGGCGAGGGGCCCCCGCCGGTGCCAGAAATCGTTGGGCCCTCGCCGGGGGCGCCCTTTGTCCTCTTTTAGTCCTCGGATGGCGGTGAAGAGGTGCCCGAGGGGGCCCGACATTTGTCGATCTGATGTTTTTTAGTGTGCGACCAAAGATGTCCTGCCCCCTTTCCGGGGGGTATTTCTTCCTGTGGCGGGTGCATGTATAATGGCCCTTGTGTCTGATAGCGTGCACTGGATGCTAAAATCGAGAAAGCATACAGGGGTTGAAAGCTACCCAGGCGAAGGATACAACCATATGAGGGTGCGAGTGACGCAGGACATGACCCTCTCCTCAAAGGCGGCGCAACGGGAGGGGACGAAGAAGGGGGAGCTCCCTGTGGAGCTCCCTATGGGAGGGGACGAAGGAGGAGGAGCGCTTGAGGGGTGTGCCGAAGGAGGGGGGGCGCCTTATTGGGTTACGAAACGTGTGAGGCGTGTGCCGAGATGGACTGAGCGGCGGTACGCGGGCCTTGCCACTGGGGCCCTCGGTGGAGCTCCCTACGGGGCCACGGCGCGCGCGAGGGGTGCGCCAAGGTGGGCCGGGCGGCGGTATGCGGGCGCTGCCACGGGGGCCGTCGGTGGAGCTCCACATGGGACCACGAAGCGCTTGAGGGTTGCACCGAGGTGGGCGGGACGACCCCATGTGAACCCTGCCACCGGGGATTTTGGCCGATCCCCCTTATGGGGCCATGCAACTTGTGAGGTCTGCGCCGAGATGGGCGGGGCGCCATGCGAACCCTGCCGCTGGGGCCTTCACGCATGCGGCCCCTACCACACGGGCCTCTCGTGGAGCTCCTATCGGGCCACGAAACGTTTGAGCGATGTGTCAGATTGAGCGTGCTCACGCCTGCGGAATTTGTCTTTTGGGCCTTCTGATGAGCTCCTACTGAGGCCGCGAAGTGTGTGAGCGATGTGGCAGAATGGGTATGGTCCGCATGTGGACCTTACCGTTATGGCCTTCTGTGGAGCTCTTGTGGTGGCCACGAAACGTGTAAAGGGCGTGTTGGTAGAAGGGGCGTGGTCAGGTTTGCGGACTTTGCCATTTGAGCCTTCTGTGGAATTCTTATGGGACCTAGAAACGTATGAGGTGTGTATGTGTGTGTGCCAGGATGAGCGTGGTGACGCTTTCGGACTTTGCCAGTATGGCCTTATGTGGAGCTCTTATGGGGCCATGAGGGGTGTGCCAGGATGGGCTTGTGCGGGCAATACTTCTGTGTAGATCCAGTGCAGTATGGAGTTTCGGGCTCCCTTCCCAAGAAACCCCAGACGCACTGGATATGGATAAATTTGCCCCCTAGAGGCTCGATGTTTATCCATATCCCGTGCGCCTCGGCCTTGTGGCGCCGCTTCCAAAAAAATCCAAAAAGCGCTGGATATGGACATGAATCTTGTCCGCAGCGTGGTCACGCACGCGAGCTTTGCCGCCATGGCCTTCTGAGGAGCTCTTCTTGGAGCCGCGAAACGTTTGAAGGATGTGCCAGAGCGTGCGCACGCATGGTGATTTCGCCATTATGCCCTTCTGCGGAGCTTTTACTGGGGCCGCGAAACGTGTGAGCGATGTGCCAGAATGAACGTGGGCACGCATGGTGACTTCGCCACTTGGACCTTCCGTAGAACTCCATTGGCGCCACGAGAAGTGTGAGCGATGTACCAGAGTGAGCGTGGTCATGCATGCGGGCTGTGCCATTTGGGCCTTCTATAGGATTCTTCTTATTGGGACCGCCGAGCGCGGAAGCGATGTGCCAGACTGGGCGTGGCCACGCATGCGGAATTTGCGCAGAAGGAGGTCGGAGGCAGGAGGGAGGAGGGGGCAGCGGGAGGAGTGGCACGTGGGGTGCTGCTGATTCAGAACGAAGACCCGACACCACAGGGTGGCTGGGAAAAATGTATCACCGGAGATCTGGGAATCGGGCCCCCGTCCCGAGAACGTTGGTTTCCAGCTCAAGCGCTTCTTCCCCGTCGCCCCCTTCGGTCTTCGCCCCAGGGTCGAGGCAGAAAGCGGCGGGAGCAGCAGCAGCAGCAGCAGCAGCAGCAGCAGCAGCAGCAGCAGCAGCACCACCCGCCTTCTGCAGCAGGAGCAGCAGGGTGCACGGGCGCGTCGGCTCCGCGGGCGCTGCGCGTCCGACTCTGCTCGGCCACGCGTCAGGGTGCCCGCTCGCCGCAGGCACTGACGGTTCGGGCTCACATGGGGTCCCCCCCTCACAGCTCTGGCCCACGCGCTCGGATCTGGCCCCCCCTACAGCGCCGCCGCACCAGAAGCGACCCCTGCCCGACCAGGGCCACTTGTTTGCATGTGGCTGGTGTGCACGGCGCTCGCCCCCCCCCCCCCCCCCCAAGCCAGCGGCATTCGGTGGAGCACCCTGGGGACCACGAAACGTGTGAGGGGTGTGCCGAGAAGGGTGCGGTCGGCGCATGCGAACGCAGCCAGTGGGGCATTTGGGGCTTTCGGGTGAAGTTCCCTATGGGACCACGAAGCGTGTGCGGGGTGTGAGGGCAGAGGCAATTAGGGGAGGAGGACGGAGGAGGGGAGGAAGGTGAGAGTAGAGAACAGGATATGTGCGGAGAGGGACACGGGGTGCTGTCTCTTCAAAGCGAGGATCCCACACCATAGGATGGTTGGAACTATATCTATGCAGTTGTTTGTTTTTCTATTACAGGAGGAGTTTGAATCGTCGTCATCATCAGAAAGTTCCAGCAGCGCGGAGAGCTGTTTGTTGAACGCGGTCCCCGCCAGTGGTAGTTTTTTTCAGCCGCCGCCATACAGATTGGCAGCGTGAGCGCACCCCTGAGCGAGGCTCGTGAAGTCAGCACCTGGTTCTGTCGGCCTGACAGTACGGAGTGGGGGGCAGAGGAGGAAAAGAAGGAGGAGGAGAAGGAGGAGGAGGAGGAGGAGGAATGGGGGAGTAGCAGGAGAAGGAGGAGGAGGAGGAGGACGAGGAGGAGGAGGAGGTGGGGGAGGAGGGGGAGGAGGGGGAGAGGAGGAGGAGGAGGAGGAGGAGGAGGAGGGAGGAGGAGGAGGAGGAGGAGGAGGAGGGGAGGAGGAGGAGCAGGAGGAGGAGGAGGAGGAGGAGGAGGAGGAGGAGGAGGAGGAGGAGGAGGGAGGAGGAACGTCTGGTGAGGCAGCTGCGCCGATCGAGCAGCGGCGGAAGAAGTTTGTTTCGGCGATCGGTCGGCGGTCCTTCGGGTGCCTCAAGGAAGCGTCCTGGCAGGCACCTTCGGACGCGGGAGGAAGTCGTCCAGGCCAGTGCCACCACAGAACGGCAACACGACGGAGAGGTGCTCGTTCGCCCAGGGGGCGGCGCAGTGGCGGAAATACAAGAGCCATCCGCGTTTCCAGCGGCCCGGGCCGCCAAGCTGGGTGGCGGCCGATCTGGTGCACTGACCGCCCCTTCCCCGTTTTGCTTTTTGCCTGTGGCTTCCTCCCGGACAAGGTCCACGTGCCCATCCATCTGTCCCCGTCCGACCTTCTCTCTCTTCTTCTCCTCCGTACTGCTTGCTCTTATCAGTACTGTTGTTCTTCTTCTTTTGAGGGCCCAGCTCCTGCTGCCGCGATGGCGCTTCCCGTTCCCTCCCATCGCTGCTTTCCCTTCCGCCCGCCCCGTCCCTTCCATCACGCCGTCTCTCCCCGCGATCCCCTCTGCCGCGCATTTGCGCCCCAGCACCCCTGGCCTGTCACGGCGCCCGCCGCCAGAGCCACCCCCGAGGCTCTCTCTCTTCCCCCTGGCGGCGGCCTGCCGCCCTCCCGCGGTGCGTGCCGGCGCTCCCTCGCCAGGCGAGGACGTGACCCTGGAGCGCGAGCGCCGCAACATGCCCGCGGACAAGATCCTGGAGCTGAGCCCGAAGTTCGCGGACGCCTTCCTCGACAAGATCAAGCCCATCCTGCTGAGCAGGCACGTGTCCAAGGCGGGGGTCCTCCCCCCCCCGGGGAGGAGGAGGAGGAGGATCAGGAGGAGGAGGATCAGGAGGAGGAGGAGGAGGAGGAGGAGGATGAGGAGGAGGAGGATCAGGAGGAGGAGGAGGAGGAGGAGAGAGGAGGAGGAGGAGGAGAGAGGAGGAGGAGGAGGAGGAGGAGGAGGAGGGGGGCGCCCGGCAGCGGCCGCCCCCGCCCCTCCGCCTGCGCGCCACCTCCCCTCCTTCTGGTCCGGGCGGCGGCGGCCGCTGGGCCTCGGGGGGGGGGTAAAACGACGCGAAGATCGGGACAAAATCGGATCGGGATAACTCGAAATCTCTGAGAATCGGCGGGTCTGGAGGATGTATTGGGCGCCGCGGCCGCTCCAGAGCGTTCCGGAACGCTCTGAGAGCGCTCCGGAACGCTCTGGAGCGATTTATCCCGATCCTAGCCCTGTTCTAGGGGCCCTGAAAGTGCGGCGGGGGGGGGGGGGCGCCATGCTGCCAGCGCGCGAGGAGTGATAGGGGCAGAGGGGCGGGGGATGAGTGGGGAGGGGGGAGGGGAGACCGGGAGGGAGCGATACACACACACATATATATATATAGAGAGAGAGGGAGAGGGTGGCGGAGAAGAGAGAGAGAGAGAGAGAGACAGGGAGGGCTTGCGATCTCAATGTCTCCCGCGGTCTGATCGCAGGCTGCTGCTGGCGGGGCCTTTACCATGCTGGACGAGCCGCGCTGCAAGGACCTGCTAGAGGAGGAGACCGGGGGGACCGAATGCACACGCTGCAGAAGCGACGGCGGCAGCACTGGCAGTGGCAGCATCAGCAGCAGCGGGACAATGGCACCACAGCAGGCGAAAGAGGAGTACGATTTGGTGTATCGAGCCTTCTGCTGCAAGCCCCGTGACCGTGCCAGCGTGATTGGCATCGAAACGCTCGCAGTATTGTTTTTGTGACGAGCTCTTCCAGGCAGGGTCGGTCAAATCATCTTGGGGCCGTTCGGGCAGTGAGGCTACGACGCTTACCCTCAGTGTAGCCGCTCAGTTGCGCTGTTCTCGCGTTGCTCTTGTGGCTCCTCTGTGGGGCCTCCTTGGGTCCCTCTCGGGGATCTCGGGGATGGTTCTTGCGGGTACTTATCTCGTGGCGCTGTGCGACGTCTTGAGTCCGCCATAGGAGAACTTGTTATACCGAGCTTCTTCCAGGGGATTGGTGGAATCTCGTTGTCGCCGTAGGGACAGCACTTGGAGTGCTTTAGGAGATCTCCTGGAGCTCTCGTGGGGCACTCCTGGGCAGTCTTGGGGCTCCTTTGGAGCAGTTGTTGGCCCGCTTCAGGACCCAACTCGGGCCCACGCTGGGGCTGGCTTAGGGGGCTCTATGAACCCTTCCCGAGACAGCACTGGAGCTTCGAGTGTTCCGCCTGCCAGGGCATCTTGTATGCCGTGTCGAAGTTCATGTTGACCATGTTGCCACTGTGTGGACACCTGTTCAGGGAGTCCTGAGGCTTGACTTCTTGAGCGTAGCCTTGGGCATTGGGAGACCTTCGGGTCATCTTGTTTTTGCAGTTGGGCACCTTGCAGCCGTCTTGACCTATGGGGGCCGTCCTCTGGCTTTGGAAAGAGCTGGAGAAAACACGCGATGAAGCAGGGATTGCGCGGCGGGGGGAGACGTTTGTACACGCATGCATGTGTCGATAGGGGGCGAGGTGTACAAACAGCATGCCCCAAACATGCCGAGGGCTCGATGCCAAACAATATGACAGAGAGGGGGGTGATAGAGGAGGAGGAGGAGGAGAAGGACGATGAGGAGGAGGATGAGGAGGACGAGGAGGAATGAGGAGGATATGCGCGGCTGATACTCGCCGCCGAACATACGAGATTGCCACGTGATATAGCATCAACACTTATTCCATGAGCAGGTGGTTTCAGAAGCCCGAACCGCCTGATCTTAGAGATGAGTTGCCGCCGACACGGAGGCAGCACATATCGGGGTAAGTTGGCAAGCATGTGGTGGAAGCCCCAGTGCCCAGGAGACGTGCCAGCGTCCCACATGATGGGGCTAGCCGACTCCACCACAATAACTAGAGGTTCCCTCAGCACTCAGTCCTTTGAGATCTGATCATACTGATTGACGCTTCTGCAGGTATCCGCAGCAACGCATCTAGTAACGAGTCACAGGCGAGTTGCATTGGCCAGGGAAGTGCAGGAACGCGCAGTGGTACAATATGGCGGGTAGTCGCCTTGTCGCCTGCAGGTTCACCGAAGCAGTTAATGTTGATCGCCATGTTGTTCCAAGTTTGGCCATCTTCAGCTGTATTGAAAACTATCTTGGGGTACAGTGGGGGCGCGCATCAAGAAACCTAGAAGCCATATGCTTTTCGTCAGGGTTTCCTGGGTTTCTTCGCTCCTCGCGCTGCGCGGTGACTTCCCGCAGCCGTTGAAGGAGTTGCTGCGTTCAGGGTGCTCCGGGTTTCCCCTCAGGTGCACCTCGCGCACGGGTTCTCAGGGTTGGGTTTCTTGCGAGGGGTTCTTGCGGCCGCGCCCGCACTGTATCTGAGGCCACCATGGGCCTGAACGGGCCCTCTGACACATCCGCCCCCCCTTGTTCCAGACCCCCGGGAGCGGAAGGAGGGTGGATGCACCCCTTTTCCGAAGGGAAACATGTGTGGGTTGGAAGAGCAGACCCTTTACGCCAGCAGCACGGCTGGAGGGACACTGTGCGACAGGCGTTGCACAGGAGCCCGAAGGAGGACGCACCGCGATTCGGCGGCAGCCCTGATGCGAGACGGGGGATGGGGAGAGGCGGAGAAAAAATAATGAGGACCCCGGCGGGCGCACGGCAGACATCCGCGCTCGCGACGGGCGCCGAATTAATCTGGAGCTTCCGGCGGCCCCTTGGGCCCGCGGCGAGCCGCAAGCGCAGCGCCGCCTTTCCGTCTGCCTGCGTGCCTCCGGCGCGCGTGGCTGCCAGCAGCACGAGGAAGCCGGAGGCCTGTTGCGCGGGGAGGCCGTGCCGGAGCCCAGCCGGCGCACGGCCGGCGACTTCGCCCCCGCAGCGCAGGCATGCGACCCAGCCAGGGCCTTGGGACGCTATGCGCGGCCGCCGCGACGCATCGCCCACGCGCGCCCGCACGTCGGCGCGCCGCGCGGTCTGCTCGCTGCGCAAAGCCAGGTCACACCTCGAACTGTTTGTCCGCAGCGCCCCTCTATGGCATCCGTCTCCAGCGCGCGGAGCCTGGCGCGGAACTGCGCGTCGACCGGGCTCCCCAGGCTGTTGTCACGCACGTCGTCCAGTTCATCGCCCCGGCGGGCCAGCCAGATCCAAACCAGCAGCATGACCTGCTCAAGATCACGACTAGGAGGAGGAGGAGGAGGAGGAGGAGGAGGAGGAGGAGGAGGACAACGAGCTGCTGCTCCAGAGCCGCTGCGGGGCGCAGGCGCTCCGCGCAGCGCCCAGCTCCACTGGCCGCAGTACGGGGAAACGGGTCACCGTGGCTAAAACGACGCGAAGATCGGGACAAAATCGGATCGGGATAACTCGAAATCTCTGAGAATCGGCGGGTCTGGAGGATGTATTGGGCGCCGCGGCCGCTCCAGAGCGTTCCGGAACGCTCTGAGAGCGTTCCGGAACGCTCTGGAGCGATTTATCCCGATCCTAGCCTTGTTTTAGTGGCAGGGCTTGTCGTGGTCTGCCCACGCAAGGTAAACGGTTGAAAATCCACCACGGCAACAGAGAGGAGGTCGACTATACAGTCAGAATCCATGGGATGCGCTGCTTCATCAAGGCTGCACTTGCGTACCTGCATCTTCGACCCATCCTGAGTCAATGTTGAGGGCCTTGCATCCTCATCCTTACCTTGCATACTTACGATGCATCTTGATTGCAGGTCACCCGCGGGGGCGCGAAGGTGACCACGCTTCGCGCGTCGCGGTAGGGGGTGGGGCCGCCGGGCCGGCACTGTCTAGGGGGCGGCTTGAGGGCACGAAGACAACCGCGCATCACGGGGTGCGACGTGCGAGGCTTGGGGGTCCAAGTTGGGGTGGCGGATGAGCGGAAGGAAAACGAGTATCCCACACCCGTTCATCCCTGATCTCCTCTCTGCCACCTCATTATCCTTCCCTCCGTCCTCCATCATGCCTCCACCATTCCACGCGACATCACTCATCCCTCGCTCCCTCCCTCCTCCTTCTCATCGCTCTCTTCCGCCCTCTCTTCCTCGCTCTCACGTACAAAACCATTTCTGTTTTTCCTCCACTCGTTTTGATTCTCAGTAGAGTGCATGCTCCTCGTAGGCGTTCCTATTGCCGTCGTCATGCCTTGGCTCGTTATCCTGCTTACCCTCGCATTGAAAGCGTTCCCTTGTCTGTGCTCATGGCGGACGGTCACCTGTTTCTATATCATTTCTTTGAAACCGTTCCACACCATCGTGGCACGCAGACACATGGACAGCCGCGGCCAGTCAAGCTTCTCTTGCTAATGTTATGGTGTTTATCCTCTTTCTTCCTACCCCGTCAGCATTACTCCTGTTTACCCTCGGGCGCCGAGAACCCCAAAGCCGTGCAGAAGAACCTGCGCAAGGTCAGGACTACCCTGAAGCAGATGAATTGGGCAATGACCGCCCTGATTCAAAACAAGGATGGGGATGGGCGCGGAGTAGGGGGAGGGGGACCCAGGAGGGGAGAAGAGGAGAAGGGGACGTGGAGACGGGGAGAAGAATAACGGAGGTGGAGCGGGGACGTGGAGATGGGAATGAAGGAAGACGCGTGAGGAGGGAAGAGATCAGGAGGAGGATGTTATCGAAGATGAGTACTTCGTACGAGGGGGAAGGTCAGCATGCAGCAGGATCAGGATTTTGCAGCATGTTGGGCAGCAGGTGCGTCAGGGATGGTTGGGGTTTTGGGCGGGCAAGGAGGAATCACACATGTGATGCTGCAGTTGAGCAGGAAGGCGATCTTGGAAGGGGGGTTCATGAGGGTGGACGTTGTGAGAAGGGAATGCGGATGATGAGCTGGGGGATGAAGGAGGGGCAGAACAAGGACACCCGCCAATGGACCAACCAGTACCTAGATTTGATCACGGCATTGTGGACGCTATCGCATACAAGAAGAACAGCGCGACCACACACTTCATTGCCGAAAAAAATTACAGGAAACTCAAGTGCATGACGAAGTCCAACGTATACAATATTCGGTCGAGCACATCAAGGGCGACGACATCGCCGACATCGCCGACGTAGAGGACCCAACGACAGAACCATCGACCTGCAGACGTCGTCATCAGCACAGCAACAGCAGCATCGCTGCGAACCGCCTCTTCGAATCGAGTCATCAGTCGATACACCACTCACACCAACGGAAGTATACTCGGGTGGACCATCCTCCTCGCAATGGCCACATCACGTTCCAACGCAATTTCTTCATGGACGCACCGGCTACTAACGGGCGATACACCACACTACTTCAACACACCACAACAACGATAGGATAGACAGCTGACCGATACGAAGCACTACAGCAATTTGCTGAGACAAACCCTAGCACTACAGCGTAAGGTCTCTGCTAGGTCGAGCTCCCGCGGTCGTCACAACATGCACCGGCAGCGGTCGAGGCCACAAGTGCAACGGCAGGTCCAATGCGAGACGCCGAGCCTTTAGGACCAATCCGCTAGCAGGCAACTCAGCCCAGTGCGGCGACACATTTAGGTACATGCGTGCTGGTGGTGCCGTCCACCTCAGCGACAGCTGACGTGGCTCCCAAGTCTACAATTCTACACGACCAGGCCCAACACGTCAGTTCTTGCAGACATGTTCCACAAGCAAACCTAAAGCAAGGTAGAGCAAGCGACTCGGCTCCCACTCCCCACCCGTGTCGCAATCACACTCACCACGTTCAGCAGATTTTGCCACATTACCTGTGCACCAAGATGCAGCATTCCAACCGACGTCTACGATTGCATCTCCACCGTACCAGAACCACTCTTCTCCAGGCTGCCACAACGGTATTCCACCTCTACAGCCAGCAACGACCGACGTGTTGCTCAATCCTCACTCACCCTACGACGTTTTCCTCAATCCCGATCTACCCTCAGCATTACGCACAGCATCTACGACGATATGGAGTGCGAGCTCAGGCAGCACCGAAGCAGAGGCTGCAGCCATCAGTTGGGCCACAACTTGATACGCCCAGTAGCCTCCACACCTACGTGGGCATATTCATCCTGACCTAGCCAGTGCTATGCGCATCCTGACACCATTCGCACGCAGCGGCGACTCAATTGCCATGATAGCACAAACCTTCATTCCAGAAACCCAAGAGAGCACATATTATCATAATCCACCAAATGCACGGACATACGGGCACCGATTAGCAGAAACAGGAGCATGACAAACACGCATCCGTGTACACCGTGTCAAATACACTTGGCACCGCAGACAGCAAATTCCCACACACAGAGTCATGTAACAACGCTACAAGCAGACCGCCCCCATTGTAAGACAAACCGCCCACTGGAAGGACCCGACGACAGACTGCTGCGCCCGCCCCATGATGCGAAATGACGGGTCTCACGAAAAAAACATCAATCTTAATTGAGCACATACCACTCACTACCACCGCGACGGCCAACAAGGAATTAGCAACGCCTCATCCATTCGAACGACCCTCGGACGACACTGGCGCGACTACGGTTCCTTTCGCGGCGATCGCAGTCGACGCGCAAACGGAACACGCAATACTACATCAGACGCACGCAGGCAATTCACTCTTCGCGCCACCCACCCAAATTGGGACGCAGCGTGCGACTCGGCACTGCGCGACCATGCGCAGCCACCCCAACGTGAAAATTGCATTTCAAGTGCAAGCGCTGCGGGCCATGCGCGCCCCGCGCCGTCTTATCATCCTCAAGCTCACAGCCTCGCTTACTTCGAAGACAATGCGCGCGGCCCACGCGCCGCGCGTGCATCGCGACGCGCGCCGCGCAGCGCCGCGTCGGTTAGCGCCGCGCGGCCTGGCAAGCAAACGGCCGCCCGCCAACGCGATAGTCAGCGCACGCGGCAGCGCGACCACTTTGCCGAACATCGGGGCTGGCACGTCGCCGCCGCGCCAGCGACTTGGCGACGGCGACGCTGCGGCCGAGGTGAGACTCGCGACAGAGCGCGCAACGTCGCGCGCGCAATTGCAGTGCTACGCCAAGAGCCTTCGCAGACCTGCGCAACGCAAAGAACGATGGCAATTCCGCCAGGCGCAGGCGACTACATAGCGATAAGCAGCGACTGAGTACAATTTGCCATTGGCCTACACGTCAGCTGCGACCGCGGTTCAGGTGCAAACAACGAAAGCCAATGCCCTGCGTGCCTCCCCGTCGAGCGCGAGCGCTTGCAGGCGCGACGAAGACCGCCTCCACCTTGCGACTTCGTGAAGATGCAGGGACCCGCGCGCCGTCGCCGATTCGCAGGCGTACTAGGCAACCAATCGCTGCCCACGTTGGACACGCCCATGCACGATCATCGCCGACAGATCAGCATAGCGGAAAACCGCGCAGCCGCGGAATGTTCCCCCGCTAGCGGCTTCGCTTCAGGCCAGGAATACATTGCTACAGACACGACGTAGTTGGTGAGACTACATCGGCATGCAATCGCAGCATTGCGACCAGAGCGACGCCCCACTACGAGCTTTGCTGCGCCGGGATATCGATGGCAATTTCGCAGGCAGGCCAGCCGGCCCTCGCGCCCATCAGCTGCGCGACGCGGCGCAGAACGCCGAACAGGCTGCGCGCAGTTACTTGCGCAAAGCGAGCACCACTGGCGCGCCCAATACGACGTGATGGAGCAACCGCATACATGCAACCATTGCGCGGCCCATGCCATCTTTCACAGACGACAGCGGCAAAGCCTTTATGAACAGCAAGCGCTAACAACGGGACGAACTTGCCAGACGCCATGCACGACAGGAGGTGGCGATTGTCGCAGACAGCGGTGGCGTTCAAAAGCTTTACAATCTGGCGTTACCGGCGCCAATCACGCCAGCTACACTCGACCGCGTCGTCGCAACTCCACGTGCAACGACGCTCATCAAGAACGTCGCTCGCAGGAAGCAGCCAGGACTTGACCGCGTTGCAACCGACCTATTTGAGGCAGCCCCTCGCTGCACAGCGAGGCGCGTACATCCGTTTCCAAGTGGGACCTCGCTCGCGCAGCAAGGGCACTTGCGATGGGAGCACGGAGCAGCTACGCCCTTGCACGGGTCAAGGGGCAACGTGCAAGGCCACCAATTCTTGATCCACCCAAATAGCTCCAGAAATACCAAACCTGCATTCACCCATCCAAAGCATTGCGCCCAACGCAGCGTGGAGGCATATCCAGCACATCAACGGCACTTGCAGCACATGCGGTTTCACCATCCGCCGACTACGCCAGCAGGGGCAAGTGCATTATCATTCGCTATGGCATCGACCGAACGGCAACATGTCATGCAGTTGCTCGCGGGGCCGCATTTGGAGCAGACGCAACCTACCCCGCGACTCACCATGATTTGTCCACCAAGACGCCCCGTAAGCACTGGTCCCACTTCGCAGCGGCATATCGACCTGGCGCGGAATGCTGATCACGCGCAGCGGCGACCTACGCTTGGCAGCCCAACACATCGAATCCCAGAGGGAAGCACACTTCGCGTTTTAACGCTCCGATCTTTCATCGCACCCGATACAAGGCGCTCGACCAGTCCTTAGTCGCGCAGACACCATGCGCAGGCTTTCTTTCGGAAGGCCGCTCAGTGACCGAGCGCCGCGCGCGATTGGGCAACCGCGCGCGGTGCAGGCGCCGTCGCTGGCGCGACGGCTGCGTTGGCAACATCGACGCGCAGCCGCATCAAACGACGACCGCGCCGCCAACCTCGCCTTCGTCGGCGACGCGCACATGCTAACATAATGCAGCGATGACGACGTGATCGAACACTCCATGAGCGAAGTTGCTGCTATTCCGCGCGCGTTGCCCGCCGGCTACCGCGTCGAGCTCAACTGCGAGCCGCCCTAATCTGCGCGCGCGCCGCGCCTGGCGGGAAAAGGCGTCGACAGAGCAGGGCAAGGGCGCTCTGTAGATGCCGAGCCGACCATCCGCTGCCCCAATTGGGGCTGGCACATTTCACCATCGCGCACGCGCGCGATCGCCTCGGCGCCCACGCCAACGCCACTGGCGCCGCAGCGTTGCGATCAGCGCACCAAGTGACCCAGCAAATGGCAGCACTGGCGCCGCTCAAGGTCACGCGCTTCAATGACCACCACTCACGAAAGGACGTCAGAGCTCAACTTGCCGATGCATTCGCAAACTGCAACTTGTTTTACAGAGTGGAGACACGAGACCCACTCAGCAGATCAACCTCATAAGTTCTTCACGCGGCAAGGAACCTCTCTTACCGCAGCGATGGAAGACGCGCCTTCTTCATGCGAGTGGCGCCCATGCATCTGACCAGCAACTGCACGGCGGCGCAGCGCGCGGGCCACGAGACAAAGGTGCGCCCGAGACGACGCAAATACAGAGCGAGATTGCCCAGCAACGCACGCGCGCACTCTTGCGGTTCATCGACCTCGCGCACGAGCGACACTCTCTAGTTGGTACTGTTCAAGACAGGGCTACCAGTATTACGTGGACCAGCATGAGCGTTGACGATCTTCTCTGGCAGACGAGACGAACCACTGACGCTTGCGACCCGCGAAGGCAGTGGAGTGCCGCGCGTTGGCTGAAGCGCGCGCGACGCGCCCGAGCAGTGCGCGCGGCGCCGATCGGACAGCACACGCATTGACAAGCAGTGCACAGGTGTATGGCAGCAGCATCTGTGACAGCTCTACTTCGACAACGACGACAGCGCACCAGCTCCACCAGTTCAGGACGCTGTCTACATGTGGGACGAATGCTGACACATCTCCAACGCAACCGGGAGCCGGAAACCACGCCGAACCAAGAAACACCCACCACCCGATGGCACGGCACGCGCAGTCGAAGGCAGCGCATGCAAATGCTACAAAACAGTATTTGCAGCGCGGCAGTTTACTTATTCACCTCAGATACAGGGTTGCGAGATGCAAGAACTATTGCATGGAATGCGCGCCGCCGCTGCCGTCCGACACCCAGTCAGCATTTCCAGCAGAAAGCACAGAGCTGACATTAAAGGCGATAGAGACAAAGGTCTATGAGCGGGCGCAGTGACTGCACCAGCACGCAAGCAAGATGTCCATAAAAGACAGTCTTGGTAAAGGCTGCACGTCACTACCTCTAGCTACTGCACTCAACTTTCTGGTTGTGCATCGTCGACCTCTTACTGACAACAAGACTAAGCCGACCTACGTACTTGTCTTCTTCCCGACCGACCAGCGCAACTCCCACCTATTGCGTCGGTCATGAACCTAATCCACCATTCGACCTAGCAAGGCCCGAGTACACTGACACGTGACGTCGACGTCTTATCAGCGGCCAAGTAGGAACCACAATTGCCAAGCCACCCGACGACACCTATATTACCAATGCCGAGCAGAGGACCGCGGGGAAAGATTATGGGGCGTGTCCGACCGATTACGAGATCAGCATGTAAGGGCACGGGTATCCAACGGACGAGTCCAAAATCTGATCGTTCTCTTGCGCGTCGCCAACTCCACCGCGACACTTGCTGGATTTCGTCTCCTCCTACTCGACGCTACCATCGACGCTGCTAAATTCTACTCTGGTTTATGCCACCCTGTTTAACACTACCCTACTCTACTCTGACCATATTGTGCCGCGCGCTGCTCTACAGTACTCGCTTCTCCTCTACTCTGTACTCTCCGTTCTACCCTACTCATTTTTTATCGTTTGCCAGCCTCGTCGCTACCATCTACCCTACTCTACTGAACTGTACTGGTCTCTACTTTGCCGATCCCTATTTCGATCCATTCTAGTCTAACCTATTCTTAGTTTACTTCTCCTACCCTACCTGAGCCTCCCCTACTTACCCGGAGTCTATCCGACCCAACCGATTCGACTCCTACTATCGGACTGACGCGATCAACTCTGCCATAATCTACTTTACTCTACTCCTGCCGGGCCTCGTGCTTGCAGTTGCACGAGTGCGACCGGCATCGCACGATTCAGCGAACAATTATCGACAGCACTTGGTGGTCAGCATTTTGCTCATGGCAGTCCTCGGGTTCGAGTACTGGTTTTGCTCTTCACCGCTTCTGCGCCCTGGCAGCGCCCGCGGGTGAGCCCTGGCCCTGGCCCCGGCTGCTGCCGCGGCCCCGCTGCCCTGGCTGGCCGCTCCTGCCCGCTCACCGCGGAGTTTTTCCGCTTCTCCCCCCGCGTGACCGCTTTCCTCTCCTCCTCGTCTCCTCGTTCTGTCTCGCGCGCCGGACAGTTTGCTGATCGGTGCCCCCGATTCTCCCAATGCTGGTGCTGATCGCTTCCGCCTCGCCGCAGGCAAAAAAAAATGCGTTTCCGCGGTCGGCCTCTGGGGGCCCCCTCTGGGCCCCCGGACGGTCCTCAAAACGGCTCGGGACGGAACGCTGGTCCTGTGGGATGGGGGCTGGCGTCCAGGGTTCGTTTCTCCAGTTACCAGCCTGGAGCAGATCCCCATCCCTATGTTTGACATCACCTCACCTCGATGCCGATCATGAGGATTCCCTCCGTTTTTGAGGGCCTATCCCTGAGATTGTCATCGCTTTTTGTTCGCCCATCTGAGGGATAGGGATGCGTTCGAGGCTGGTGATCCATCAGGCCCCGCCTCTCTCGTGCCAGCCGGGGGCGCGGGGAGGACAGCCCCTGGCGGGGCCTCGAGACGAAGGGGTCTCTGGCGGAGCACGGGACGGAGAAGATGCTCGACATCATAAAGCCTGGGCCCCGGCGCCGCGGGCCCCTGCAGAGGATCAACGGTCGAGACTCGTTGTTTGCGCTGTGTTTGCGTCGCCGCCCCTCCGAGGACGTCTTCTCCTCGCCGCGGCGGATCCCCTCCGGCGGCTTCGGCCGCGGCGCAGCGCGTCTCTTTTTGTCACCCTGGCGTCACAGGGCGTCACCGGGAGGGGTGGAAGTGGAGAGCGACTCCTTTTGGCATCGCTCGGACGTGTGCATTTATCGCCGGGGACCATCTGGGAACATCCTGGATCATTCTGCGAGAAAAGGAGCGCACGACGCCGAACAATGAACGGGGAATGGACGCGTGAGAAATGGCAAGGCCATGTTCTGTGTCCGCGGAATCCTCCTCCTCCTCCTCCTCTTCCTCCTCCTCTTCCCCCTTGTCCTCCTCTACTCCTCCTGGTGCCGAACGTTACATCACCGGTGGCAGGGTCGGGTCCAGTATCGGCGGTTTCACCGGATGCAGGAATCATAACGATATCCACGGACGCCCCAAAGGTCATAGAGCCAACATCGCAGAGCGAATTTCTTTCGGAAAACAATTGGATGGGCCCGGATTGTCCTGAAGATTTTCGTTCCGGATTTCTAGGTCAATTTCGCGCAGATCTGTCTGTCAGGAACGAAGACACAAGGCCACGCGACGAGATTCACTCCGTTGTTCGCTCCCTGTTTTTTTTGCTTGTTTTTGCACTGATCGAATCCACGCGTACATCCACTGCAGCACGTCTGCAAGGGCGGTACAGCGACAAGGGCAGACCGCGCCTGGCTGCCCGCGCGCGCGCGCGAGGGCCGCACGCGCGCGGGGCCCGCGGCGCTCGGGCCGCGCGGAGGGAACGCCGCCCCCGAGCTCGAGCGAGCGCGAACGACCCGTGCGCGAGGCTCCCTGCCGATACGCGCAGGAGGGCTTCGGGAGCTCCGGGCTTCTCCTCCGTGGCGCACGTGCACGGCGTCGGAGGGGCAGGGAGGGACAGCACGGAAGAGCACTCCAGGTGCATGGATCGGGCAGTGTGTTGCGCACGTCGCTCTGCTCCTCTGCCTCCCGGTCCGCTACTCCGCCGCCCTCGGCGCGGGCCCGCCCCCCCGACTGTCCACCGAGGAGCTCCCGAAGCCCCCGAGCTCCCGACCCCTCCCGAAGCACGCCTCTGCTCCCGAACTCAAAACAGACGCCCAATCCCCAAGACGCGGGGCCCAAAACAGAACGCAGGCTCCTCGAGACTTCGGGGAGGGAGATGTTTGGGCCTGGGGTTTCACCAGGGTGACAACGACGAACGCAAAACATACCCCGAAATCTTTGGCCGATCTTCGAATCCTCGGTGAATCCGCGATTTTGGGGTTGGGGATGTGTTTTTTCTTGGTTATCTGCGCCGCAGAGGATCAAGAGCGACAGAAGGAGGTACACGTACACGGATCTACGCTGGTGTCGAGAGTACGCCCTGCCCGAATGTTCGTAACACACGGCCAGTCTCGCGGATCGCGGGGCCGCGTTCATGTACACAGTTGGGCGTGTATGTCTTTTGTGGGCTCCCTAGGGGAGGCGCCAAGCTGGATCGGTGTTGCGAGGGGGGTCTTGCCCGCAGGAGTCTTCTGGGAGTCTGAGAGGCGGCCCAGCACGGGTTCGGGCCAGCTGGAAGGGCAGGCAGGTTCGTCGTGCCGAATTAGGCAAGGGTTTTTTGTTTTCTCTGCCTCTGGGGGATGTTTTCGGGCCTCGGGGCCGTCAGAAATGGATCAGGGATGAACAAGTACGTGGACCTCTGGGAGTGGTTTTGGGATCGATGTTGACCGGATTTGGCCTCAGCCCCCCTTTCTTGACCCAGCGTCTGGGGTCCCAACCAGTGGAGACGCCTTGGCGCCTTCAAGGCAGGCGGGGATCTTGCTCGTGCGAGGGTCTTGCGCGTCGGGGGCGCGTGTCGGGGTGTGAGTGCTGAGGCGCGGCAGTTCAAGAGTTTGTGGGACGATCATGGGTGCACTGGTCACAGCTTGACCCCGCGCGACTGCGAAGCCTCGTGTGCGAAGCCTCGTGTGCGAAGCAGAGACATCGGGGGGAAGCGGCGGACGGGGATGAGGGAGGAGGAGATGAAAAGGCGCATGTTCGAGATAACACTATTTAGGAAATACAGATGGGATGTGCGCGGATGAAGACAATGATAGACAAGGTGAACCCAACGTTGAAGATGACGAGTAGTAGTCTGAGTGTTTTTTTTGTGGGTTGGTCGCATCAAGCACTGGGCCTGAGCGTGTCGGTACCACTTGTTTCTAGAAGACAGTATGCGCCAGTATTCGCGTCAGACGCGTCATGTACCATTTTTTCATCCCCATCCTCCATCCTCTTCCCCCTCCTTCCTCCCACTCTTCCTCACTCCCCTCTTCTTCGACGTGTTCAACGTCCTGTTCAATATCATGCCCTTCCCTTGGACGTGATCATAGCACAGCGTAGTTGAAGTTCTTTGCGCAATTAACCGCATCTCTGCGCAGTCTCATCGAACCCAACCAGTGCACGCAGTGTGCCAGCAGCAATGGGGCCCTTGGAGGAGAGGGCAACTTCACGGCAGCGACTGAAGACCTTTCTGCGACCTGGATGGCGCGCGACTAACTAAAAACGGAGAAAGAAGCAGCGATGGCGAGAAGGACGGGCGAAGGGAGAGATGGATGGGGTCAGGAAGGTAACGACGAGGATGGAGGAGGAGGATACGGGAATGGCAAGGGAGGTGGACGAGGGGAAGGATGGGGGATGGCTGAAGGGGCAGAAGGGGGAGAACGAGCAGTTCTGAGAATCAGGAAGATGGAGGGAAGGATTGGGAGAGGAAGCGCATGAGGAACACGAGGGGTAATCCGCGCACCAACAGCTTCCCAAACATTGCCAACGGCCCTCCTGTCAGGACGTTTCTCTCACAGCTTTGCAGTCTCAGTCCGACGACTGGAGTTTGTTTACCCCCGGTTGTAAATGTTCTCATGTGTAGTATCATGTCAGACGCAATGCCGCACAGTGTCATCTGAGGTCGGGTATCGCCGTCGGAAAGTTCAGCGAGGTTCACGAGGAGGACTTCACTTGTCTTCCCATACGGATATCTCCATTAAGAGGGTACGGATTTGCATGCCGTATCCACTGGTGAAGGATCTCTGCACCAGGATCTCGACAATTCATCTACCAATCTCTTATCTCGCTTCACCCCCAAGATTGTGACATCATCCCCCTTTCATCCTCCGCCCTGCGTCCAAGAGGAGGTGTGAGTCCCAGGGGCACGTGGATTCCGCAGCGCCCGCCTCCTCTCGAGCGTGTCACTTGGCCCCCCCCCCCTCGCCCACTCGCGTGCCACGAGCCGCGATGCGCTGGCCGTCCCCCCTCCCACCTTGCCCCTCCCCCTGGAGGAGGAGGAGGAGGAGGAGGAGGAGGAGGAGGAGGAGGAGGAGGAGGAGGAGGAGGAGGAGGAGGAGGAGGAGGAGGAGGAGGAGGGCGAGGCGCACCCGCGAGGGTGGTGGTGCGGGTGTGGGCGGGGACCGCTCGGGGCCCAGGGGCGGACGAACGGCGCGGCCGGTGACGGCGCGCCTCCCCTTCTCCCGGGCTCCCCTCCTGCGACGCACCCTTGAGAGGGGGAGGAGGGGGAGGAGGGGGAGGAGGGGGAGGAGGAGGAGGAGGAGGAGGAGGAGGAGGAGGAGGAGGAGGAGGAGGAGGAGGAGCTCCCCTCCTGCGACGCGTCCGGAGAGGGGGCGGAAGCCCAGGAGGCCTCCTGCTGCTCCCTGCCCTCCTAACTCTTCTTTCGCGTTGGACGCGGGGAGCCAGCCCGTCGCGTTCTTGCGAGTGCGAAGAGGTAGAAGCGACCCGAGTCATTGTACCTGGCGGGCGCCGTGGAAAATGCAATGAGAGGAGGAGGAGGAGGAGGAGGAGGAGGAGGAGGAGGAGGAGGAGGAGGAGGGTGGAAGCCCGGGAGGCCTCCTGCTGCACCCTGCCCTTCCTCCTTTCTTTGCGTGGGCACGGGGAGCTGGCCGGTCGCGTTCCTGCGAGTGCGAGGAGGCAGAACCGACGCAGGTCGTTGCTGCTCCTCCTCCTCCTCCTCCTAGTTGGCGGGCGCCGTGGAACATGCGCGAGAAAAAGGCCTAGGAAAAAGAGAAGCAATGAGAGTAGGCGCCCGCCAGGTAGAGACGACACAGACCTTCGTAGACAGACGCCTCATCCTCCCATGAACCAGCATCGTACCAATACGACCACCCTTCGGGTGAGAAGGAGGTTGTGGGGGGGGAGAGGGGGGAACGACCATCTGACTTAATCGATCTCAGTATCGATCTCACTCAACGGGACACCACGGAACACTTGTCGATCTCAGCATCGATCTCGCTATCGATCTCACTCAACGGGACACCACAGAACACCAGGGGACACCACGGGACACTGCGGGACATTTCTGGATCTCATTATCGGTCTCACTATCGATCTCAGTATCGATCTCACTCAACGGGACACCACGGGATCCCTCGGGACACCTCGGGACACCACATCGATCTCGCTATCGATCTCACTATCGATCTCGTTTTAACAGGACACCACGGGACACCACGGGACACCTGTCCATCTCACCATCGATCTCACTGTCGATCCCTTTTTGGGGGACACCACGGGACTCCTCGGGGCACCACATCGATCTCAGCATCGACCTCCCAATCGATCTCTTTCAACGGGACACCACGGGACACCTGTCCATCTCACCATCGATCTCCTTTTTTGAGACACCACGGGACACCTCGGGGCACCACATCGATCCCAGTATCGATCTCACTATCGATCTCACTCAACGGGACACCACGGGAAACCACGGGACACCGCGGGACACCGCGAGCCACCGCTGGACGGGCGGGCGGGGGAGAATCATTTGTCTTGACTTCGCCCTAGCAACGGCGGACACCACGGGACACCACGGGACACCACAGGACACCGCGGGACACCGCGGGCCACTGCCGGACGGGCGGGCGGGGGAAAACCATTTGTCTTGACTTCGCCCTAGCGACGGCGGGTTCACTCCTCTCGCGCGCCCACACCGGTGTGCCTCGCCCGCACGCACGACACGAACGAAACGAAACGATTTCCCGGTTGGGAGTTTCCGTTCCACTGCGATCGTACCCCCGAGCTTCCGGCCTACACGACCACCTTTCGGGTGATAAGGAGGTTGTGGGGGGAGGGGGAGAGGGGGGGGAACCAACATCTTACTCAATCGATCTCACTATCGATCTCACTCAACGGGACACCACGGGACATTTGTCGGTCTCACTATCGATCTCAGCCAGCGGGACACCACGGGACACCACGTGACATCACGGGACACCACGGGACACCGCGGGACACGTCTCGATCTCTTTTTCGGTCTCATTATCGATGTTCACTCAACGAGACACCATAGGGCACCACGGAACACCTCGGGACACCACATCGATCTCTCTATCGATCTCTCTATCGATCTCACTCAACGGGACACCACGGGACACCTGTCCATCTCATTATCGATCTCACTATCGATCTCACTTTTTGAGACACCACGGGCCACCTCGGGGAACCACATCGATCTCATAATCGATCTATCTATCGATCTCACGATCGATCTCACTCAACGGGCCACCACGGGACAGCACGGGACACCTGTCGATCTCACTATCGATCTCACTATCGATCACACTATCGATCTCACTTAAAGGAAAACAACGGGACATCTCGGGGCACCACATGGATCTCAGTATTGATCTATCTATCGATCTCACTATCGATCTCACTCAACGGGACAGCACGGGACACCACGGGACACCGTGGGACACCGCGAGCCACCGCCGGACAGACGGACGGACGGCGGGCGGGCGGGGGAGAATCATTTGTCTTGACTTCGCCTTAGCAACGGCGGACACCACGGGACACTGCGGGACACCGCGAGCCACCGCCGGACGGGCGGGCCGGGGAAAATCATTTTTTGGGACTTCGCCCTAACAACGGCGGGTTCATTCCTCTCGCGTGCCCACGCAGCTTCGCCTCGCCCGCACGCACGACACGAACGAAACGAGACGATTTCCCGGTTGGGGGTCTCCGTTCCACTGCGATCTCACCCCCCAATGTTCGACCCCGCCATCAATGGTCAGTGTCGCTTCGGAAAGGTAAACAGAAAAAGGCAATGCATGTGGCTAGGTACGAAGCCGTGATGAGAAGCAGTTCTGGGGTTGCTCCCCAGGGTTTAAGGTGGACCCCAAACTGTAGGTACGTCCTCCCAAGCAAGATGAGCCCCCATGATTAATCACAGAACCCCCTCCTTCCATCCCCAAGGTCAGAGGGAGGCCGGCTGTGATGCATGTTTGTGGGGTAGCAACACATACAAGAACGCCTATCGGCTGGCCCTGTGGGCTGGCCTGTCACAGCCTGTAGGGATACATGCTTGCAGTCTGTCAGTGCAAGTGATTATGTAAAACATGTGGCTCGCGCCTGCAGGTCAGGGGATCCCGAAGTAAAAGGCCTTGGGTGCAGGTCGCAGCAGGAAGAGGTTTGCCGAACCGTGTTGCAATTCTTGGGTCGTTGCCCAGTATCTCTGTTAATCCCAAACCATACACGCACTACCTCTCCCAACCCATCACAGAACACTCTCCTCCCATCGCCAAGGACAGAGTGAGGCTGGCGATGATGCATGCTTGTGGGTAGGAAACACGAGAAAGAACGCCTATAGGTTTGCCCTGTGGGCTGGCCTGTCACGGCCTGTCTATACAGGCTTGCAAGATGCTAGGGCAACCGAGTCTGTAAAAAGATGGCTCGCGTCTGCAGGTCAGGGGGTCCTAAAGTGAGAAGACTTGGGTGCAGGATGCAGTCAGAAGAGGTTGGCCGAACCGTGTAGCAGTTCTTGGGCTGTTGCCCAGTATTTTTGTTGTTAATCCCAAGCCATACAGGCACTACATCTCCCAACCCATCACATAACACTCTCCTCCCATCGCCAAAAACAGAGTGAGGCTGGCGGTGATGCATGCTTCTGAGTAGCAAAACAGAGAAATAACGCCTATAGGTTTGCCCTGTGGGCTGGCCTGTCACGGCCTGTCTATACAGGCTTGCAAGATGCTAGGGCAATTGAGTTTGTAAAAAAATGGCTCGCGTCTGCAGGTCAGGGGATCCTAAAGTAAGACGCCTTGGGTGCACGATGCAGCAAGAAGAGGTTGGCCGAACAGTGTAGCAGTTCTTGGGCTGCTTCCAATGTTTTTGTTTTTTTCCCCAAACAGGTACTACATCTCCCGACCCGCAATCCCCATAAACTCCACTCCCCCCACTCCCAAGGTCAGAGCGAGGCTGGCGGTGATGCGTGGTTGCGGGGCAGTAAGAAAAGGAAAGAACGCCTACAGGCTGGCCCGCTGGGCAGGCCTGTCTTAGCCTGTGTAGATGCAGGCGTGCAAGAGCTGTTCATGCAACCGCGTATGTGAACAAATAGGGTCTCGCCTGTAGGTCAGGGGATCTCAAAGTAAAATGTCTTAGGTGCAGGATGCAGCAAGAAGAGGTAACCGAACCTTGTAGCAGTTCTTGGGTTGCTGTCCAGGCCTTGTTTGTTCAACCCCGGACCATACGGGTATTACACCTCCCGACCCATAACCCTCAGCATCAAGAGCCCTCTCCGCCCATGGGTGGTGAGTGTGATGCTTGAGGTCGATCGTTCGGACTTGCCTTGATGGTGGCTTGCCGCTGTAGGGCGTAATCTGTCTCTTCTGTGGGTTGGTGGAGTGCTTCGTACTGCACCGCAATTGCTTGTTGCTGTGGAGTGTTTGTGTATCGCGGTTCGCCACCAGAAGTCATGACGTGCGTAGCGTATTGCGTCTCTGCTCTGGAGTCCGCGGTTGCCGCGTACCTGTAGGATGTATTTCGGTTTGTGTGGCTGGTGTGGGTGTGTATTGTGGTGCTCTGGGCGCGAGTGGCTCGGTTGGTGTAGTTGGTAGTTCTTGAGAGGGGTCGATGGTTTGTGATAGTGCTTGTCGGCTGGTGAGGTCGCGCATGTCGACGTCGCTCTGTATGGTTGTACCTATAGTCGCCCATATTTGTGATAGCCGTTAGTGTGTCCATGATGTCGCGTACTTATTATTGTAGTCGGTCAACTTTGTTCTCCACTTGAGCGTGTTGTGTAAGTTGGCGTTGTCGGTATTACTGCGCTTCGTCGAGTATGGTTTGCCCGTGGTCTATTAGTTGGTTGATGCGTATGTAGTCGTCAAGCTCGTTGTCGCGGTCTGGTACTGCTGGTAGCTGTTCAGATTGGTGTGCTTGTCGAATTAGGTCTAGCAGCTCTTCTTGTTTCCTTTGTGTGTGACATTGTTCCGATTGTGCGTGTGCCTCGATGTACCTTTCGATCTTGTGTTGCCTGACGCCGGATGTAAGCGCATTTTTGTCTTGTTGTTGGTAGTGCTTGGTGATTGTGTGGAGGGGCTCTGCCGCGCTGGATAGTAGTTTGGGGCCGCCCGTTCTTCTTGGCAGTTGGTTAGCGTGTGTGTCGCGTGTTGTTGTGGTCGTTGTGCTGCGTTCACTGCTTCTCTTGTTGCTGGTACATCGTTGCCACATCTTTACTGTGCACGAGCCCGTTGTGCTTCGTACTCGATGTGCTGTTCTTGCTGTCGTTGGTGGTGATGTGCTCTGCCATTATGATGTAAGGTGTTTGTCTCTGGGGTAGTTCTGCTTGTTGTGTCTGGTAGCGGTGGTGGACATGTTGGATGGTTTGCTGCATGTGCTCCTCTGTCATGGGTTCAGCTCTGATGATGTTCTCGGCGTGTCTGTTTTAGTCGATAGGTCGCTGTGCTGCTAGTTGTTGTTGTTGTTGTTGTTGTTGGGCGTGGGGCTCTAGTCTTAGCTCAGCTATGGTTGGTTTCGCCTCTTCTTCTTGCTTGGCGCGTAGCTGTGCTTGCTGCTCCAGTTGATTGTAGGTGTGCTTGATTTGGTGGAGTTGTGTGTGCTAGGTGAGGGCTTGTGCAGTGCGTCCTTCGATCTGCCGGTTTGTGTCGTTGTTCCACCTGCGTGGTCGCGGGTTGTGCGTGTTTTTGTTCGGGCTCTTCTACCCAAATCGTAGTTAATTCGTTCACCTGAAGTTGAAGCTCTGCTTGTTGTAGTGGTTGTATTTGCTCTCTTGCTTCATGGCAGTCGTTTGGCAGGTAGTCGTTGGCTGCTTGTAGTTGCTGCATGGTATCTTCAGCCATGATGCGTCGTTGCTGTATGTGTGTGTGTGTGTGTCTTTTGGTTTGCGCTCGTTGGCTGCTCGTAGCTCTTGGATGATCGTGCCGCTGGCTTGCAGATCGTCAAGTACAAGAGCGTCTTGAGCCTCGCTGTGCCTTCTTGCTTGCCGTGACTTGTCGGCATCTTGAGGAGTTGTAGTGGTGTTTTTTCTGTTTGGGTGTTTGCTGAGTTGGATGTCTTGAGTTCTGGGTGGTGTTGTGCGTGCAGTTTGTGGGCTGGGTGTGTGCAGTCTGTGGTTGACGAGCTTTTTTCGAGGTTAGTGTAGGTTTTCGTGGGTCGGAAGTTGTCGTCGTGTCGTTGCTGTGCTTGCTTCATTGTGATTTCGGAGATTCTAGTGCATGATGTGTAGTCATTCTTTAGCTGTCGAATGTGTTGTAGTCGTTCGTGCTGTGGCTGTTGGTCGAGTAGTTGTTTCTTGATGACCTTCTAAGTTGCGTCGTAGGTGGTCAGCTGTCTGTCCAGCTTTTTCGACGGCCAAGATTTGCGAGGCCAGCTTCCTGATGTCTGCTGTCTTGGATGTGGTCCATGCATTCATTTCCAATGGTGCATCACCTGGTCTGTCTTTGTCCTGTACGCCGTCGTGGTATGCTTCAGGGATGCTGTCAATGAGCGTCCTCGTTCCTCTGTCGACGTAGGCTGCGTGGTCGGGATTGGTACCAAAGCAGGGCTGTGGTGGCTGGTCGTTGTGCCAGTTGTGCGCTCGGTCTTGTCTTTGTTGGATCCTTTGATTGGGGTGGTCGCTCGTCGTTGGCTGTGGGTGCGCTGAGGATGGATCCATGTGAATGTTGATAGTGCTGTGTGGTGGTGTATGTTGTCTGTTGGGTGTGTGTGTGGGTCGCTTGGGATGGGTGTGAATTCGGTGCTGGTTGCGTGTAGTTGGTGTACCCGCTGTGGCCTATTGGCTGCCAAGTGGAGCCTTTGCCAATTCCATAATGCTGCTGGGATTGCTGTTTCGCCTTGCCTTTGCCTTTGTCTCGGGGTGCTGGGGTTTGTCCGTGCATCTCTGTAGTCGTGTGTCGTGGTTGTTGTTGTGCGCTGTGATGTTGGTTCAGTAGGTGTTGTGCAACTTGTATATGGTCGTGTTCAGAATGGTCAGGTAGCGTTCTTGCCCATGCTATCCTTAGGAACATTCTTGCTGCTGCTCTCCTTTCCCGTTCCCTGAGATGCAATGCGGGGTTTGGAGATGTAGTCGGAGTCGTGGTCGTCGATCGGTGCTCGTAAGTCGCCGTTGTCGAAGACGTGAGCCTGCGGTGCTAGCGTGGTGCCCGTGACGCAGCAGATACAAATAATATGCTAGATGTAATAAGTGAAATATAGGGGTGTAGATGGGAAGATCGCAAAAGATGTAGGAGGCATTGGATCTTTCGGGTGATTTACGTTTGTGCCTGGTCCCCTAAGGCTGGCGCACTTCCTCCATCTCCTCCTCCTCCACAGTTACAGAATATGAATACTATTCTCCTCTCTCCCCTGATGACGTCCGGGAGATGTCCGGCCCCCCTCCGCGTATTCTTCTTTCACACAAGATTCCCGGGAGTTGGGTTTTCTTTTGGTTGTCTGGCCAAAATGTTGTTCCCGCTGAGCGCTGGCCTCATTTTCGGGCTTCCGCTCGTTCCGAATTGTGCTCCCGCTGCAGCGCTGGCCTCATTTCCGCGCTTCCGCTCGTTCCGAATCGTGTTCCCGCTGCAGCGTTGGCCTCCTTCTGCGCTTCTGCTCGTTCCTAATCGTGCTCCCGCTGCAGCTCTGGCGTCATGATTTCCAGTGCCATGCCACGGCATACAATGCAATGATATGTGGTATTCCGCTGTGCGATGAAGCCATCGGAAGTGATTACACATTCGGTGTCGATTCGTCGATTTTTGGGCCGCAGATACCCCCCCCACTTTGGGGCGTCGTCGTTGTCAAGAAGTATCAACCAGGGGCTCCGTTTCTGCTTTGAGAAGGCGATGTTGAAAACAGAGCCAGCGGATGCCCTCCATCAGCCCCGCCTTGTGCGGGGCTTATCGGGGAGCCCAAGGAGCTAGACATGGAGCTGCGATTCCAGACCAGCCCAGACCTCGCGAATGCGATCCATTTACCCTAAAACGAACTCGGCGCCATGCCAGGACATGCTGTGCGGTGTTGTGTTATGTGCCGCTGTGCGATGCCATTATTTGTGTTGCAATGCTTTGCGATACAATTCTTCACTACGCAACGCCACGCCATGCTATGGCATGCTACACTCTGCCGTTCTCTTCTACGCCCTGCTATGCCGTGCTCTACGATGCATCGCGAACCCTCTCGCGATTATTACCCTGCTCGACATCCGACTGTGCGAATAAAGAGGAGGTCTACGCAATGGTAAGGGGTGGGAGGGAGGGTAAGACGTTAGATATGACGCGACCGCGCCTACTTTGTCCCCTCCTCTCCTTCCCCCCTCCTTCTCCTCCTCCTCCTCCTCCTCCTCCTCCTCCTCCTCCTCCTCCTCCTCCTCCTCTTTGGAACCCAAGACGCTAGCAACCATTGCGACCCGTGGCGGCACAGCTCGACACGGCACCGTTTGCGATGTTGACCCGTGTGTTTGTTCGCGCTTCTCCAGGCGGCCAGAGCCCCGCATTGGAAGTGGACCGCCGCAGACACCAACATCCAGACCACAGCTCCGACTGACCAGCAGCACCGTTTGCCAGGCCTCAGCAATTTTTTGGCCAGTCCCGAGGGGCCGTGTTACACCAAACAAGGGCACACCAGCCCGATGAAAGAGCCGAAGTCGTGCCCCACGCGGTGCGCCGCCGACACATATTTGACGCGTCCAGGGGACGGGGGGGGCAGAAGGGAGGCTGGAGGACGGAGGGAGGCCACAAACGAGGGTGGCTGAATGCGGGGGGAAAGGGGGGAGGTTCGAAGAGGGGCGATGGTGAGGCTGGAGGGAGGACAGCGGGGGCAGGAGGAAGAGGGGGAGGAACATGAGAACGAGGGGATGGAGGCTGTGGGTGTATCAGGCGATCGCAAACATGGATCAAGGGGGCGTGGATTAGGGGCAAAGAGGATGAGGACGAGGGAAAAGGGAGGGGACAGGGGGAGAAGGCGAAACAGGAACAGAGGATGAGGAGTATGGGATGGAGGTTGGAGGGAGGAAAGACCAGGTATGTAGGAGGGAGGAGCGTTTCGGCAAGTTCCTTTCGGAGCGTCTTGGGGAAACCAGTGTGTCAGCCCACCCAGTTCCTCTACAGCTCGATCTGCCCATCAGTGTTTGTGAGTGCTTGCGTGGTCTGAAGAATCAACGCATTGCGAGCTGATATTGGACAGCGAGTTTCTGTTCCCACTCTGGACCCTACCATTCTCCTTGACCTGATCTTATTCCCAGGAGTTTGCCAAGCTCCTCGACAACCTCCACAGGCTTTATATGGATATCTTCGAGAAGCGTGGCCAGGAACTCTTGCGATCCGCCATCCAGGAGACTTTTTTCATCGCGTACGCAGCACAGCTCGCGCATGTCTCTATGCGTGAGCGTTGTATCCAGCTGCCTGTGGCAAACCCCGTCTCCGTGCCAGCGCAGCAGCGCATCAGGAATAAGTATAGAACCGCTCCAATCGCCAAGTTGCTTATCTCTTCCTTCATTCCTCCTCCTCCTTCCTCATCCTCGTCCCCCTTCTCCGTCTTCTCCCTTGAAGGCATATTGGAGACTTCTTAGGTCTTAGGGATAAGCAGGATGAGGGGCTGCTCTTCCAGTCACCAGGAAACAAACACATATTTGGGGCACGGGAAGTTCAGGATTTGGGGGTGTTGTATGGTTTGCGTGTGGGCAGTCATGGGCGATAAGCAAACAGTGTGTTGATTTGGTGGTGGCGTTGGCGCACGGGTGCCGCCGGCATTCGAGTTACCGTTGCTTCGGTGGGACACAGCTCCCGCTTTTGTTGTGTGAGCGTTTGTAAAGTCCATTTGCTGCACGGGGCGACTGATGTGCCTCGAGCGCACGTCTTGAGTTTGGGGTGAGGGCATCCCCACCGTGCAGGCCTTGTGCACCAGCCTCGACAAGTAAAAGAACAACAGCTTGTAGAATGCACAGCCCCAGCAGTTGCGGGTACTAGTGAGGAGGCGGGGGTCGTCCGTGGTTTGCGAGGCGCGACTGCAAATATACGTAAACCCGCCGCAAGCGCCTTACGCACAAATCAGGAACGGCAGAAACACATACGAGACCGCCGCAGCCCCATGTTTGTCGAAACGTTGTTGGTGGGCCGCGGGGCGGGTTTTGGGGTGGGTTCGCGGGTGGATCGCAGGGCACGATCGTGGGTGGATCGTGGGGCGGGGCCGACAAGAAGAACGATAATCAGCACTTCCGAACCCTACTATAGCCACCTACACAGGGACAGTGTAAGATTGTTCGGTCCCTTCAGTCGGATCTGTGTACCCCCACATTTGTGGCGCGCTCGGTTTCCGCCGAGGCTCAAACATAGAAGTATGTTCGTCATCGTCTGCAGCCCGGCAGTGTAAAACAATGCACAATCACAGTTTGATAGTCCCGTCTACGACAACAGTCCAGAAACATAAGTTTCTAGATGTCCGCGCGGAGTTCTTAGCGCTGGACCCCTGCCGGGCTCCGCGCCCGAGGGATGAGGACCCAGTGCCGACCCATGAAATCCGTGCGGACCCATGAGCGGTGACGTTTATGGGTATTAATCCGTCCTCTGCAGCCCAGACATCCGACGATGTGATTGCTTTCACTCCTCGGCCTGGGAGCTCCCGACCCTGTGATCAGGACCAGTTTGCCATCCCGCGTCCACTCATAATGATCCTGGGGGGGTAGGCCTCCAGGGTGAGCACCCGGATCGAAAGAACGTGCCGTCGGAGAGTCGAGGAGCGAAAAATGGTGCGCATGAATTGCTGGAGGTCCGTGCTGATCTCTTGGATCTGCGTTGGACCTCCATCCCTGGCGCGCGGAGCGCGCCTGGGCCGAGCTGGAGGCGCCGCCAGGGTGCTCCAGCGTCGATCTGAGAGATCCGCCCGTACCTCCGAACAGTTTATGTCCATGTCATGTTCGGGCAACACGAATAGCAAGGATGAGCGTGCTTCTCCGGTGACTTGTGCATCTTTCCTTTTTGGCCCACCTTCTTTTTCGCTGGCCGCGCCCCGCTCGCAAAAAAAGTCGGCGTGGCCTTCCGAGGCCCTTGCTTCCCTGTCTTGCAGCCTCATTCCCCAATCAGTACTTGCACTGAAGGGGTTCTAGCGGAAGTTGAAGGATTCGGCGAAAGTTCCCCGCCGATGTTGGTGGCAGGCTGGGTTTGGTTCTTTGCTCCGGGTTCCCGGGTTCCCGGTTCCGGGTTCATGGCCGATTTCGGAGGGCGGCGAGGGTCCCGGGTTTTTTGGTCGATTTTCTTTTCGATCGGTCTCACCATCGATCTCATTACCGATTTTTCGATCGATCTAACCGTCGATCTCACAATCGATCGCATTTTCAATCTCACAAGCGATCTCATTAGAGATCGCATGAGCGATCTCGCGATCGATCTCACTATCGATCTCATTGAATCGATGTCACTCTCGGTCTCACGATCGACCTTACAATCGTCCTCACTATCGATTCCACTATCGATCTCATTATCGATCTTAAATTCGATCTCAAGATCCATAGTATCAATTTTCAAATCATCCACTGATTGGGGTTTTCTCAGGTGTAATTGAAGGCTTTGGCGAAAGTTCCCCGCCGATGTTGGTGGCAGGCTCGGTTCCCGGGTTCCCGGGTTCCCGTTCCGGGTTCCTTGGTTCCCGGATCCGGGTTCCGGGCCGACTTCGGAGGGTGGCGAGGTTCCATGATTCCCGGGTTCCTGGTCGACCTTCGTTTCGATCGGTCTCACTATCGATCTCATTACCGATTTCTCGATCGATCTCACCATCGATCTCACAATCGAGCTCACTATCAATCTCACGAGCGAACCCACTAGAGATCGCATGAGCGATCTCGCGATCTATCTCATTGAATCGATTTCACTCTCGGTCTCACGATCGACCTTACAATCGTCCTCACTATCGATTCCACCATCGATCTCATGATCGATCCCACAACCGATCTCAAGATCCACAGTGTCAATTTTCAAATCACCCACGGATTGGGCTGTTCTCAGGCGTCGTCTTGCTGCTGAGACGCTGAGATAAGGACCTTTTGTTGGGCTCCGATGGGGCTTGAGCTTCCGGGCTGCTCCTGAGATGCGTGTCCTGGGGCCTGCTCATCTGGCCCGGGCCCGCCGTGGCCAGACAGGCCCCTCCGTTCCTCGTTATCTTGGCATCGCTCGGACGTGTGCACTCATCGGCAGGGCATCGAGGCCATCCGTTCCTCGTTATCTTGGCATCAGGCCATCCGTTCATCGGCAGGGCCATCGAGGAGCATTTTTGTTCACGCTGCGGAAAATATACACGCACGACACCGAAACATGCACTGGGGATAGACGTCCAAGACACGTCGATTAGCGCATTGGCCGTTTTCGGTTCGCGGGAGGGCGTCGCGGCCGTCGTTCTTGCGGCTCCCCAGGTCCGCCGGTTTCGGTCCCAGGCCGTTTCCGCCAAAGGGAGGGTTCTGAACGGGAGGTTTGTCCACCGCCGCTCCTTAGGGTAGTGCCTTTTTGGATACGTGCTCCGCGTGCGGATCATGTATTGAACATGCAGGGATTTGGTATTAACAACAACGATGAGTTCATGCATCAATTTATTCATAAAATAATCCTGTATTCAAAATCTTATATTTTAAAACATCCTATGTATTAAAAACTGCCCTGTAAGCGTGACTGCTCGCTCGCCTCGCCGGGCCTCGGCCCCTCCGTCCGCGGCGGAGACCGACCATGGGGCTCTCGCGCGCGCAGAGAGAGAGAGAGAGAGAGAAGGACGTACACGTACATGAATCCACGCTGGTTTCGAGAGTACGCATTGCCTGAAAGCTCGTATCACGCGGCCGGTCTCGCAGATCGAGGGGCCGTGTTCATGTACGGTAGGTTCGTGTCGTGTCGACCAGCGGCGACCCCGCCGCCGGCGTTCAATGTTGAACGCCGGCGGTGCCCAAAATCGGTCGATGTTGAACGATTGCACGTTGCGGAAACGGCCGATCGTTCAAGGTTGAACGATCCAGCGCGGTGTCAGAAACCAACGCCAGGGGTGGCACGACACGAACCTACCATACATAGCTGGGCGGGTACGTCCTTTGTGGGCCCCCTAGAGAGAGATAGAGAGAGAGAGAGGGAGAGACCGGAGGCAGAGCTGACCGTGGTCCACCTGCTCCCCGAGAGCGGCGGCCGCCTGCCCGACGGCACGAAGGTGATCCTCCAGGAGCATATAAGTCGCGCCCGTCCCTGTACAGGAGGAATATGCAAAAATACAGTGGGGGCGTTGAAGAAGGAACCCTTTTCGTTTGGGAGGGGCTCCGTGTTCCTTAGTTGTTTTACAGTGCTCCTTGGGTTTTGCCGTGATTTTCCATGGAGGGTCGGAGTAACTTCTGGGGAAACGGGGCCTCGTTTCTTCTTTAGGGTTCCTTGGGTCAACGCCCCAACTGTAGTAAAACCATAGTCTGGGGACTATTTTTGGAGCACCTTTTGCCCACTGTGGAACACTTACTCGGGGTATGTGTTTAGTTTTTCGTCGGAAATCCCATTTTCTATAGGGGGACAGGCCCGACCTAGCATAAAACAGGGCTAGGATCAGGATAAATCGCTCCAGAGCGTTCCGGAGCGCTCTCAGAGCGTTCCGGAACGCTCTGGAGCCGCCGCGGCGCCCAATACATCCTCCAAACCCGCCGATTCTCAGAGATTCCGAGTTCTCCCGACCCGGTTTTGTCCCGATCTTCCCGTCGTTTTAGGAGGCCCTCTCTGCCCACGCCCGCGGCGGAGGGCAGGCAGAGGGGCCGCGCACCCCTTGCGGGCCCCTAGGGCCTCCGGACGTCGCGCCTCGTGCGCGGCGTGGGCCCCCGGAGGTCTGGACTTCCGTCGGGCTCTGTCCCCCTAGAGCCTGTTTTTTTTGGATTCAGGCAAGTTTGCTTGCATGGCGTTCCCCCCCCCCCCCCTCCCTCCATCGCCCTCTTCGAGCGAATACTAGCGTGCAAGTGCCTTTCGACTTGCGTGATTTCCGCGCCCCCCCCCCCCCCCTCAGCCCCCCCCCCCCCCCCCCCCGTCCATGCAAGTAAACTTGCCAGAGTCTCAAAAAGAACAGGCTCCTACAGGGGGATTTTCGACGAAACATAAAAGAATACACCAAAAATAATGAAAACGATGTCAAACAAAAAAAACGGGGATGATTTTTGGGGTATGTGGTAACCTTTTTTGAGGTATTTGCAAGGGCTTGTTTTCCAAATTTTTCGTCGAAAATCCCCCTACGGGGGGATTTTCGACGACGCATAATAAAAAATCCAAAAGTAGTAAAACAAATCATCCCAAAAAAGTCTGGGGATTATTTTGGGTGGCATTTTGCGGCCTTGTGGGGGTATCTTTAAGGGTTTTTCATTTTTCGTTGAAAATCTCCCCCTACGGGGGGATTTTCGACGAAAAATGAAAAAAGTATAAAAAATCAACGAAATCTCAGAAAATAGTCCAGGGACCCTTTTTTGGGGGTCATTTTGTTACCTTTTTGGTGTATTTGTAAGGGTTATTATTGTTATTATGATTCTTAATAATAATAATAATAACATTGAAATACGCAAACAAAAAAATAACAACAACAAAATCGTCGAACATCCCCCTATAGGGCGACACGCCCGACATGAGTCTGGACCTCTCCCCCGGGGCTCGGAGGCGGCGACGGAGGCGGACAGCCCAGGGGCGGGCCTTACGCGTATTCGCCGGGGTGCCTCGCCGAAGGCACGGACCATCGGCGGGGGACTCCCCACGCCCGCCGCGGATCTCAGATCATCAGGAGGGGAAAAAAACACAGACACAAGGAATCGTCGATCCCCAGAAAATGTCGGAAGATATGGGAAGTGGGGGGGAAGACAAAAACCCAGAAAATCAGGGGTTGGGGGGTGAGATCGAAGTGGAACGGAGAGCCCCCCTACTGGGAAATCGATTTCGGTTTCGTGTTCGTGCGTGCCGTGCGGGCGAGGCGAAGCTGCGTGGGCGGGCGAGAGAAAGTCTCCTGTGGCTGAGGCGCGGCCGGACCAAATAACTCTTCCGGGCGGCCGGGGGCCCGCGGTGTCCCGCCGGTGTCCCACTGGTGTCCCGTGTGGCTGAGGCGCGGCCGGACCAAATGACTCCCTTCCGGGCGGCCGGGGGCCCGCGGTGTCTCGCCGGTGTCCCGCGGTGTCCCGCGGTGTCCCGCGGTGTCCCGCGGTGTCCCGCTGGTGTCCCGCGGTGTCCCGCGAGGATGATGATGATGAGATGATGATGATGATGATGATGATGATGATGATGATGATGATGATGATGTTGATGATGATGATGATGATGATGATGGTGTCCCGATGAAGATGATGATGATGTTGATGATGGTGTCGATGATGATGATAGTGCCCCGATGATGAGGATGATGATGCTCATGATGATTATGTTGATGATGATGACGATGATGGTGTCCCGATGATGATGATGATGATGATGATGATAATGATGATGATGATGATTCCGATGATGTTGGTGATGATGATGTTGATGGAAATGGTGTCCCGGCGATAATGATGTGGATGATGATGATGTTGATGGTGATTATGGTGTCCTGATGATGATGCTGAGGATGATGATGATGATGATGGTGATGATGATCGTGATGCTGATGGTGTCCCGATGATGATAATAATGATAATGAGTATGTTGATGATGAGGTTGCTCATGATGATGATGGTGCCTCAATGATGATGATATTGTGGATGTTGATGATGTCGATGATGATGATGATGATGCGATGATCATGATGATGATGGTGTCCGAGGATGATGACGATGTTGATGATGATGTTGATGATGAGAACGATGGTGATCATGATGGTGTCCCGATTATGATGGTGATTATGATGATGCTGCTGATGATGATGACGATGAATGTGTCCCGATGATGGTGATGATGATGATGCTGATGGTGATGATGTTGATGATGAGATGATGATGGTGATGATGATGATGATGTTGTCCCGATGATGATGCTGTCGTTGATGATGATGTTTATGATGATGATGATGACGATGCCCTTATGATGATGACGATGTTGTTGATGATGTTGATGTTGATGATGTTGATGATGATGATGGTGGTGATGATGATGATGATGAAGATGATGACGTTGATTGTGAGAGCGATTGCGATAACGATAGTGATATCGATATTGAGACCAGATGTGAGATCGATTGTGTGATCGATTGTGTGATCGATTGTCAGATCAATTGTGAGATCGATCGAATGAGATAGATCGAGTGAGATCGATTGTTAGATCGATCGAGTGAGATCGATCGAGCGAGACCGATCGTGAGATCGATACTGAGATCGATGGTGAGACCGATCGAGTGAGACGTTGGTTCCCTCCCCCCCCCGAACCTCCTTATCACCCGAAGGGTGGTCGTATAGGTATTGGAAAATATGGGGATTCTTATTATTTGTGCGTATTTATTTGTGTGTCTCAGGGCCCCTTCAGATCAGGCGGTCGCAAGAATTGGATCAAGGGGGCGTGGATATCAGCGACGGGTGCCGCTTCCACGGGGAATCGCGGATTCCCGCCGCCGATTGGCGGCGCGCGCAAGGGGGTGGAGGGAGGGGGGAAGGCTTCTTAGAAGGAGGCTGCTTCTTAGAAGGCGCCGGCCTTACATCTATACATAAGGCCCGCGTCTTCTAAGAAGCAGGGGTGCTTCTAAGAAGCCCTCCCCCCTCCCCCCACCCCCGTGTGCGCGCCGCCAAGCCGAGCGAGGCGGCACCGGCCGCATTTTTGGGAGGACATTTCCCCGATCCATGGATTTGGCGGCCGCGCGCCAAATCCATGGATCGCTAATCCATGTTTGCGCACCCCCGATCAGAGGAGCCCAGGGTCATGAGTCATGAGGATGCTACCTTCCATGAGTTCCATGGTTTCCAGGCGTTCCCCTAGTTCCTAGTGTTCCGCACCAGCTGCACCGTCAGATACTTTGGGAAATGTGGAGCGCACCTTGAGCCAATCTTACCATGATATCATTCTCGCCCCGAATCTACGAGCCTTGGAGCCGAAGGTCATCTTCCAGGAGCCCTGGAGCCGATTGGGTGGCTGCGGTGGCCCAGCACTGGTTCTGGCCAGAAGGAAGGGCGGGTAGGTCCGCGGCCTCGGGTTGGGGAAAGTTTTGTTGGCCTCTTTCAGCCTCCGGGGCTTGAGTCGGGCCCTGGGACCGTCAGAACGGGATCCAGGGCCAGAAATGGCACCAGGTCGACCCCGGGAGGGGTCCGGGGACCAAGTCTGAGCGGATTTGGCTTCATCCCCCTCCTGACCGATTGATAAGGCCTTACGGCCAGTGCCGCCGACCCTGAAGATGACGACGACGCGACGAGGAGAAGGAGGCGGAGGAGGAGGAGCAGGAGGAACAGGAGGACCATGTAGGGGCCTCGGTAGAGAATGCGTCTTGGGGTGTCTTCGAAGCGCTCTCGGCGCGTCTTGGGAGCCTCTTGGGGGTTTCGTGGGGGTCTCTTGGGGGCCTGTTAGGAATTCCTGGGGGCGTCTTGGGAGTCTCTTAGGCCTCTTGGGGGCCTCTTGGGGGCCTCTTCGTTCCTCCTGGGAGCCTCTTAGGGCCGAGGGCTCGAAATGTCCGTTCTGGTCCCTCATCTGGGCACGCTCTGGGAGCCGTCCGGGGGGCCTCTTGGGCCGTCTTGAGGCGTCTTGGGCCGTCTTGTGGTTTCTTTCTTGGGCCGTGTGGGATCTCTCCTGGAGGCCTCTTCGACCGCCTTGGAGCGATCTGAGGCCTCTTGGGCCGCCTTGGAGCGTCGGGAAGGGGAAGAGGCGAGAACGCCGAAATGCTTCAAACACGTATAGGAAATCTACGAGTTTCCTTTTGGGGGCCCTCTTGGGAGTGCTCCTGGAGGCTTCTTTTAGCGTCTTGCAGGACTCGTGGGCCGTCTGGAGGCCGTGAAGGCGTCTTGGACAGAGCGTCCGGCGATTCGAAGCCCTCTTGGGCCGTCTGGGAGACCTTTTGGAGCATTCATGGCTCGTCTTGGGCCTTTTGTCGGGGGTGGACAGACCTCCTACCCTGACACGTCGATTCAGGAATGGGCCGTTTTCGTTTCGCGAGAGGGCGTCGCGGCCGTCATTCTTGCGGGTCCAGGTCCGTCGGTTTCGGCCCAGGCCGTTTTCACTGAGGGGAGGTCTACTAAAGGGAGGTTTGTCCACCGCCGATTCTGG